TAGAGGGGCAGGGTCACCTCCCTCAACTTGCTGGCCACATAGCTTTTTATGCAGCCCAAGATACATTTGGCCTTCTGGGCTACCAGTGTATGCTGTTGGCTCGTATCTAGCTCTGTGAGAGCACCCAAGTATTGTCCAGYGGGTTTCTCTCTGTCTTCTTCTCCCGGTCTGTACTCATGTGTGGGATGCCCCAATTCAAGTGCAGCACCTTGCTCTTTGTTTTGTTGAATTTCAAGGGAAAGACCACTCTCAAGCTTGTCTGCCTCCCCCGGGTGGCATCCCGTCCTTTTGCTGTGTCAGCTGCACTACTCAGCTYGATGTCATCTGCTGACTTGCTGAAGGTGCACTCGATCTCATCATGTCATTAATGAAGACATGGGAGAACATCAGTCCAAAGAGTCCAGGAGAGACCTGAGGAAAACCACTTGTCGCCACCTACCATCTGGACATAGAGACGTTGACCATACCTCACTGATTGTGTCCATCCAGCCAATTCCTTACSCACTAGGTAGTCCATTCATCAAATACTTGTCTCTCCAATTTAGARATAAAGACATCATGTGGATTATAATAAAGGCCTTACAGCAGTGTAGGGAGATGGCATCTGTCACCCTTCCCTTGTCAGCCATTGCTGTCACTCTATCATAGAAGGCCACCACGTTGGTCAGGCATGATTTGCCCTGAGTTAAACCATGCTGGCTGCCTTGGATCACCTTGTTTTGTATGTGCCTTAGCCTKTCCTCTAGGAGGATCTGCTCCATGATCTTCCCAGGCACAGAGGTGAGGCCCACTGATCCCTTGCGGCTGCCCACTGCCACCAAAATCTTGACACACAAACTCMGTACAGCATCACCTACAAAACAATAAACCCATGTGGATGTTTTTGTAGTGAGCTGTAGTATGGATTCATGTGGAATGATTTGCCTTAGAGCATGAGGCATGAGGCATGACATGCCAAAAAGAAAATCTTCCAAGATTATGTCTTTTGCTGGACACCAACTCTTTACTAAATATTGTTACGTATTATTTAGTGTTTTAGACAKGCAGAATTTTAGAGGTTTCTGTTTTTTTGCTGCTGAAAAATCTTGCTTTTATTTCATGGATATTCGCTATGAAGTTTTTTCCTTCTATTTAGGAATTGCTTGGCTATACTGTTGAGTTACAGTAACTCCTGCTGAAGGGGTWTACAAATCGGCRTCCACACACAGTAACTTAAAGGTGTTGATATGCTTTCTTACATGGTATGCTTTCTGACATTCTTCCTAGAGGTGTATTTTSCTTTCTAATCCAAAATGTGATAATTGGGTTTTATACAAAAAGACTGCGTGGGGGTCTTTAAAAGTCTGGCTTCAGGATATGGTTAATTATGACATAAATGTCCTAATAAAACACACTGTTTTTTCATGAAGTTTTTAATGGACTTGTTTAAAAAACAGCACTTGTTTAAAAAAACAGTGAAATGTGTCAGCTACACCTGCGTAGCTTGTCTAGTTAAATTCCTGCTACTTTCTTGGGCTAAGAACTGATACCTCCCTTGGTGTAACAGCACCAAAGGGAGTTAGTTGTGGGAGGAAAAATGAGAGTGAAATCTGCTCCAGCATGCTGCCTGTCTTGGTCAGAGGTATGGTGATTGCCTTTTCTTGACCAATACCTTAGGGTTAGATCTGCTTTTTTGAATATTTTCACCTCTGGGTATAGATGTGCCTTGCTGATTAAAAGAGCCTTGAATTAGTGCACATAATGCAAATTGCAAGATAGAAATTCCAAAATTAAATCTTAGTACAAAATAATCATCAGCTTAGCCTTTGTAACAGATTACTTGCTTTACCCTTAAAAAAAATAAAAATTCCTGTATAGAATCAGATATGAAGTGGCTGTTCAGATCAAGTAACTCAGTTGAACACTCTGGCTAACATGATTGTGTAMTTCTAGATTTACATTTTTGTTAGGACCAAGAATGCTAGAGAGAGTGAGAATTGATCCAGGGTTGAGTGAGCAGGACTGGAATACTGAGACTTTTTCCATGGGCAGCTGCACTGATCAGTAGCAGTGGACAAACTGTCCAATACGGAAATGCTTAAATTGAAGAAGGACTGCAGAAAATACTAAGAAACTTCTTGAAAAAGAAAGAAAATATGCAGGTGGAGTGTAAAATACTTGCAGTCAGCTTGGGAGTTATTTCTGTGTATCATATAGGAGTCTTACAGCATGCATGTTATTTATTTAAGTAAAGTTCAAAAGGCCACCCCAAATGCTGGCCTGGCTAAACAGCAGGGTAGGATATAATATCTGAAATAAAACATCACAGTTCTTGAATCAGGCATTTTATCTGAATAATAACAATACAGAATGCTAAAAGCGGGTAGATTTATTATAATTGTAATTATAATGAAGTGGGGGAAAAATTGATTTGTAACTCCCCAACAGACATAAAAACTACTGTTAAGTCTTTCTTCAAGCTCAGCAGGAAAGTTTGAGGAGTATCAGAGGATCAGGAGACAACCAGTTGTAAAAGGTGGCTTTGGAGTATGTAAGGTCATAGCTGAATAATGGAATTGCTTGCACTCACTTTGGCAACACTTAGAGAGATTCTTCATGCCAGAATGTTCCTTAATAAGGAATGTGACAGAGTATATGACTCAAAATGAAGCATCAGTGGAAGAAACTGCAGTACATTAAGCAAAGTGTGAACAAAGCAGCGTGATCAAATGGCATTCATCCAAGTGTTGTAAGAGGAACTAGGGGATAAAGGAGCTAATGACTGTAGGGTGTTGCTTGTGGTTAGCATCATCTTTCTGCTACAGGTAAAGGGGGTAGTGAGCATCACATCAGCATTTCAAAAAGGCAGTGAGGTGTTTGAGGAACTTTACATCAGTGAGCTTTGTGACTGTGCAACCTGAATTAATGGAAATGATAATAGASACCAGAATTGATTTCATTGTTCCCTCTGTAAAGTCATTTACCAAAGGCTTTGGGMGAGGCTAAGTTGCCTCTGAATAAAATGGAAATTTTTGTTAGAAACAATTGGCAAGAGATAGAAAGAGAGGGCAAAAAAGGTTTGTTTTGTTAATAGGAGTAATCTATTGAATTGCACAAGGACTTATGTTAACATTGGTGCACACATATAAGGGAAAGGGTATGATAGCCAGGTGACAAAGTTTGTAGATGTTTAAATTTTACTTGGGTTAGTAGAATGGCTAGATATTTAAAGAAAATTGTAAATGTAAAGAAAATCGTAAACTCAGGTTTTTTGCTACGTGGGTTGAAATCATACATGAAATTCTGTATAGGTAAATGTCAAGTAATCTAAGCGAATGAGAAGTAAAATAAGAGCATTTCTGTAGGTAATGATTTGCTCTGAAGTGGTTCTTACCAAATCATGCATGAAAGATGGAATTATCTAGTACCTAAAGATCAATGCAGTTCTCCGTAGCAGTAAAAACAGCAAATCCAGTGTAAAGATTTACTGGGAAAAGAACAAAGWAAAAAACAGAAACATCATTCTGCTTCTGCAGCAATTCCTGGGCTGTATGCATCTTGAGTATTCCTCAATACTGTTGTGTGTGTATCCTTATCTCAAAAGGGGTACGGTAGAGTAGAAGAGGTTCAAAGAGAAGCATCAAGAGGGATCTAAAAGCATGAAAGAGCTTTCATATGAGGAAAAATTAAGCTGACTCAGTTTTTTTTCTTGTTCTGCCTGGAAAAGAAAGACTGTGAACGAACACAACAGGAATGTATACGATCATGAGGGAATAGGGATGGATTACTTGTTACTGTCCAGAGTCCGTGGACTGGAGGAGTAGAGTACTAAGACCAAAAGGTGCTAGATTGAATCAGAATCAATGAAAGTAGATACTCATGTAATTCAGCCGAGGTACTTTCTGTTGCAAGATGCTGTTAGTTCTATAAAACAGGCTTGATTAAAAAGCAAGCAGGGAGAAGAAAAAGGTAGGAAAAGCTGTTAAACACAAAACTGTGTGTTTAACATATTCACCTGTGGCTCAGGAGGCCTGCAGTAGATGCAAGTAGTTGGAAGCAGAAATTGAATATACAATAAATATTTCTGTGTGCATTGTTTATACTTCATCCTAGACATATGTGGTTGGTTGTGATTTTCTTATTCTTTTTATCATTCATTCATTCATTCATTCATGCGTTCATTTATTCATTCATTTCTAAATGCATTTCCAACAATGTAAATAAAAAATGTAGGAAGAAAAAACACATTTAAATTATACCACAATCAAAGCAGCTGCATAGTTTGTCATACAGAATTTGTGTGAGACRGCTCTTAGTTGCAGTAGTTAGGGCTCAGGAGAAACAATGCCTTGCTTTGATGAGTGCTGTCTCCATGCTCTGGAACACCTTCACTTGAGAACACCCCATGCCATCATATTATATGAAAATCTCCATAATGGTGAATATTTTAGAAAGWTCTGAAATGTAATGTAGTGTGACAGAAGGTTTGGGTTCTCACTTAGTTGATGCTAACCCTGAAATTTCAGTTTGGATTGTATATTGATTCAAGTCAGTGTCAGTTGTCAATGATCCAGTTGATCAATTATGTTGAAATTGTACTTGGGACCATTCAGAACTGTTGCTTATAGATGGAAAAAATCAATATTTGTTTGATTATTAGTTATGTAAATAATACATTTTAGGACCCTTTCTGTGTGTGGCTTATAACTCATATCAGAGAAACTACCCTTAAATTTATGGATATCAGTAAAACAGTTAAAACAGTTATTACAGCACCTCAGGTCATAATTTTTAATTGCTTGCTGACTTACTGCTTAATAAATATTGACATATACTTTTATTTATTTAGGGAAATAATCGGCACTGCACTGATGAACTTAGTGATCAAAAAATAGTTAAACATTGACATCAAGAAAATAAATACTGGGGGAAAATACATGCATCTAGTTTACTCCTCTAATTTGTGTTGATTAATAATTCGGCTTGAAATCAAGACTTATCTTAACTTGTTCTCATTTCAGCTTTGGATAGATCACAGTCCAAGAGAGATGGAGGTTTTAAAAGTAATTGGAGCTTTGATCATGCAGAAGAAAGTGAAGGAGATGCAGAGAAAGAGTAAGGATGCTTTTATCTAGGCTATTGAAAGTATAAATGTCTGTTTATAATAGAATACTTCTCTTTTGTAACTTATGAATAAGAAACAATCTTAAACTTTCAGTGATTAAGAAAAATTATTTGAAATAACCGATTATTTTAAATAGCCTTGCCATAAAGGAGTTAATTTTAATGTAAGTTTTATTGTGAATGTGTGACTTAGTACGAGAGCAGCAGTTGTCTTTGGAGGTTCTGTGTAAGTCTGAGAAACAGACAAGAAGTATGTGAACATGCAGAGTAAGGAATTTGATAGGTAGGATGTCCAAGCATCATACATCATTTAGTGATGATGCTGCTCARTACTTCACAGCTATGGTTAAAGCGCTTCAGTAGCTTTAGGCCTTCCTCAAGTTAAACTGAGCTTAAAAGACTGCAGGTTTTTCTTCCTTTGTTTCCTTTGTTTTAATTCCTTTGTTTATTTCATTGAATAGAGTTAAAGCTGGGGKTTTTTTTCCCTTAAATTTATTCCTTTACTTGGTACATTTGGATTTTGGCTAAAACTTAAATTCCGTGAGTGTAGTTTGAACGTATACTTTGTCCTTATGACATTTTATTGTTACTAATTTCTCGATATTAACGTATTTATTTCCAGAATGACTAATGAATTGTTGAAAGAACAAGTGTCAAGTATAAGAAATTCATGTCAGTTTATTTGTTTTTCTTAGATATTTGGAGAGTAGTAAACTCAAAATTTTAAAAGTATGCTGTGGTTCTTGAGTAAGAAGACCAGTAATTCTGTGATTTAAGTACAAAAATAATCCATATATGAATTTATATCTTCTAATGTTCTGCCAAATACTATGCGTTGGAAGGGAAGTGGGAAAGTAGACACATAACCACATAGACTGAACCAGTAGGCTATGCTGTAATCTTACTAAAACATTAAGAAATATAAAGTTTTAGTAATTAAAAAATGAGTTCAGGAGTTCACTGAAGTCTGAGATAAGCATTAAGAACTGTGTCAGAAGTTAAAACCACTTTTAAAGGGTTCATAAACGGAGGGCACTGTAGTTTCATAAAATTAAGGCTGCATTTTTGTTTAGAAACTTTACATCCATTCATAGTGCACACAAATATGTTTTAAGTGTAAGGGCAGTACATTCCCTACAGTTATCATTTCCATTTTACTTGCCTTCAGAAGTAAGTCATGTTTGAAAGGATAGCAGCCTTTTCTTCTAGTAATTTACTGCTGTTTTCCATCTATCTCCAGCTGATGTTACTTTAAGAACATGGAATGAAAAATGTGTAGARTAATGATGCTAAAAAAAAGTTAGAACAACTATTATGAAACATGTGCTTTATGTAATTGTATCTGGTTTTAAGATTGTATGTCTGGGTGATTTTTCATTCCTTGCAGACATTCTCTATGATAAGCAGTGTTCCTATAGCCAGAATTGAATTTTTATTGCCTACTTACCTAATTTTTTATTTGCTTTTATATCAGTGAATTATGCATAATCTTATCTGGAAGTATAGATAAAAGAGTAGTTGAAAATTGATTTAAACTGGAGATCCTGAATTTCTTACTTACCCGTTCTCTGATACCATTTGAGGCAATTTCTTATTCCCTCCAAACACCTATGTGTTTTAAGCTGCCTAGGTATTTACTTTTGGTAACACWTGGGTTTGTTTGTCTTAAAGACACAGCAAGCTTTGAGTATTTTAAAGTAATTTATGTATTTTTCTTTTCTGATGCATTTTTATTTCATACAACAAAACATTGACAGAAGGGAATCTTTAGAAATCAATTAACAATAAATTTTCCTTTTTTTTTTAGATTTCCTAAATGTTAGAACATTTCAGAGATTAGCAGCTTTAATTCATAAAATTGTTCCRGCATAAAGCTTTGTGTTCCTCAAGTATTTTGAGTATATTGTGCAGTAAATAGGTTTTCACTATGGTGTGCTGATATTGACTACAATGTCTGACTACTGCCTGATTTCTTTGTGGAGAGAGCTGCGAGTCTGAAGCCAGCAGCTGGATGCATCTCATACTTGTTAAGGCATYGGTGTTACAGTGCCTGACCTTATCACAGCTTTTTGCCCTCTTAATGGCAGACACACAATAAGTTTGTTTTGAACAAGCCTAAGAATAACATTCCAGCATTTAAAGGATTGGCTGTTTTCTTGTAGTCCCCATTAGACCTGTGCTAATGATGTTGGTCAGTACTGGATAATCTGCTTGGATTATCTTTTCTTCAGYGAGGTGAACACAAAGTATGTGGCTAATGATCTCCTTTACCACTGCAATTTATGGAATAAGTAGTTTATTTTTTAAAAAGGAAGTAATTTAACTTATTTGGGAATTAGATGAGGTAAATCATAATGGTCCTTTATCTTCATGAATGAATTAATCATGTAATGAAGTATCAACTAATGAAATCAGGAAGACTAAAGAATATTTGTGAACTGAAGAAGGTTTGGAAAAATTRGTGATCACCCAACACTATATAAATTTAAAATGATGCTAGAGTTTATACTCAGTATGGAACTAGAGTTTTGGAAGCTCAGAATAGTAATTAACAAGTAATCTTATCCCAAAGTAAATGCCTGCCGGTAATGTTGAGTCCACTTGAAAGAGTAAAAGTAACATTTTTGATGTTCCGAAAGATTTGATCTACTCAGGATGATAGCAAGTGATGTGAGACTTTCCTTGCTTTGTCATTGGAGATCCCATAGAAGAGGAACCTTTATGTAGAACAATCAATAAAAAGATCAACTGATCMGTTGATCACACTGAAATCTGAGTAATCCATCCCAGAACAAATGGGGGGAAATGGTGCAGATCTCGTGTAGCAGAACTTAAGCAGACTTAAGCAAACATAGCTAAAGTAATATATTCAAGCGATTGGTGAAATTGACATATTATAGGATGTTTTCTGGTGATGATGATTCTCTTGACATGTCTCGGATAATTTATATTTACTTCCGTTGTAATATCTGTGTAAATGTTTTTGAAATATACATCAGTATGCYCCACAGTGGTTTTGTAAATGTATGGGCCCAGTTTTCTCTTGGCTGTTTTCTTAATAGTTTAGATTTCTGCATTCCACTGAGATTTTTTTCTATAGTAGCCTTATCAAAAGCAATGAATACAAATAAATGGGTCTAATTTTTTTGCAATATGGTGTCCTTACTTCCATTTTCTTTCAAAAAGCTTTAATTTTTTTCCACTTCCATTTAGGGGAATAAACCTCTTTTTTCCTTGTCTTGACGAATGCAAAAGCAATATACTATGTTATATATTTCAGCTTAGCTTTTTTCCAATGCTTATAAAATTTGTACTACTTTATCAGAAAATCCTCCCATAGTTATATAGATGTTTTATATTTTTTATGAGCSTGTTAGTAAGGCACTGTAATCTTTAAATGGATGAAAACTTTTAAAATAAAGGTTATTTTTAATGGAATGGCACTGTCAATGAGTTAAATAATRCTACTTCCCTCATGTCTCTGATACTGGGGCTTTTTTAGTGTGCTGCTGCTACCATGTAGTTTAAAACAAAGAATGTATGCAGTGTGCTGTGAGGGCAAATACGTCAATGTATTGGTTTTATATGTAATRATTTTCAGAAGGAAATTCTAATTATGTTTGAAATGTGACTGGATCRGTTGGTAGTTGATAAAAATGTCCTTGCAGCTTATTAGAGTGTAACCTCAATGTTTAATGGAGGTTCAAACTTTAGGTTGCTTGTAGATAGTAATGAAAACATAGCCTGTTAATCTGAGCTGTCTAACTAATGCATAGTTCTTAATTTTTTAAAACATGAAACAAATGGCAAGTGATTAGAGGTAAGTAAATAGAAGTTTTTGTTTTCTTATTCAGTAGCTGAATTTGAATGTGTAATAATGAACTCCCCTTTGGAAAAAACTTTGTTTAGGTAAATTACTTATATTTTTTTAGTAAAGATTTAACATTCATTTGTTATAAAATTTTAATGGATGTACTGAAAAATTAGARATTATTGTTCCAATGTGAAAATAAGCAGGCAACCCATGATTCCCTGGTTAAAAGTGATAAAGTGTGGAGGCATCCTCCTAGCAAGACAGCTGAGGTTTCATTTCAGGGAGTTAAAAATGTCACTGACTGGTATGTTGGGGGGAGTGATATAGTGTTTGTTTTGGGTTGGTTCGTTTTTTTTCTTGGCTGTATAAATTGTATCTTTAAAGCAGGCAAGTGGAATCACGTGATACATGAGCAAATAGACATTGCTTGGTTACTATGTATTCTGCTCTCTGAAAAAACAACCTTTCTGGTTCTGATGCATATACTTCAGATTCCTTAAGGTTTAAAAGTATTGGTTCATTTAAAACTCCCAATTTGCTAATATATCCCTAATTGTGTTGCATGATGACAGTTACTCTTGTTCATTTTGATTTAAGCCTTGGTTCAGTRTTTTATTAATTTGCAGTGTATTAATTTCTCTTACCTCCCTCCTCAGATGCCCTTTATCAAAATAGTTGAAGTATTGTGGTGTGTTGAAATCCTAAATGTATAGTCACAGTGCAGAGGTGTTTTGGAAATAGTTGTCATTTTTGTATGACCTGAAGCTGAATGAAAATTTTTCTAGAGGGGAAATGCRCTGACTAGGTCAGCATATAGGCAAATGCCAGAGCTGCAGGTACTGTAGGTTGCTGTTCATGTCTGTGCTGCAGGGATTTGTTTATTTTTCAGGATGTGGAAAATTTCTGAGATTGCTGCACTCTGTGTCTACTGATGAATGATTAAGAAGGCTCCATGAGCCTCCCTTGAAAGGATAATCTGTCCTGAAAGAGAATTTTAAAAAATGTTGTAGGATTTAAAAATTTTAATATCTGTGTGCTGTCTGTACAGAAGTTCAACTGTACTCTTTTGCCTTTGAAATTAGGGTGAATCTACTACACTGTTTGTTTTACCATTGAACACTGTGGTGGTCTGTAAATGAACAGAAAATACAGCAGTGCCAGTGGCTGTGCGTTTGCATTTACATAATTCTTCCCATTCCAAAATCAACTGTGTGCACAGTCTTATCTCCTGAAGTTTCAGAGTCTCCAGATCTCAACATATTTATTTTATTTTAATTTGCTCTGGGCATWCACATATTACATAAGATGGAAGAATAAATTGTAACATGAAGGGAAATCTTGTGCCTGGAAAAAGTTGTTAGGAACTTGAGGGAGAAGGTACTGAGTGATTACYTTATATATGAAAAGCTAAAGTCAGTTTATGTGTTGCAGCCAGCATATCATACTGACACAGCTGAGAAATACTTGTTTCTCTTGTGTAGCTGTTCCCTTGGAACTCCTGGCATAACTGCTTTTATTTGATGTACTTTCTGCCTGAATGATCTTGATTAAAACTTCTCAGATCATGCAATTATAAGTTCGTTAAAAATTGTATTGTTTTATTATGACCAAGACCTTACTGTAACCTTATCAGGATTGATGCGAAAGTATTACCTGCAGGTTGCTTCTCCTGGAAGCAATAATATGTTAGCCTAATCTAGTTGCTGTCAGTATGAAATGTGTGATTGGAGTTTCAATTTAAATACTTACRATTACATGGGAATAATTGCCTATTACTGAAAATAATATGTTTTTAGAGTATCATGGAGTGGCATGTTTTTTTATCTTCTTCCCCATTCTAATGGTTATGAGGTTACAAATGTTGAAAGTACTAAAGAAATACATTTTAATAAGCAGTTGAACCAAACTGAATATGTTATTTTGTGGGAAGACATACTTGGGTTGTGATTGCTGTGGGGTAAAAGGTAGTTACATTAAGTTCTTCTCCTAAAGTACTATGAAGTTTGCAGTTTTAAACCACATACTTGTATATTGATAGGCATAAACAGACTAAGATCATGTTTTATGGGTTATTRAAGTTTTGGACTCAATTTATGCAGTGCATAGAATTTTTAATAGTGTCAGTAATGCTGTCACCATATTGAAGGTTCAGTGGTGTTCTCTATTTTGAATTAGTCCTTTTAGTTTGCTTTTTGCAAAATAATTGATGCGCACTCTCTTAATTTGATGTATACTCAAAGTTCAGTTCACATAATGCATCTGATCACTAAGTTGCTCATTTGGTCTTCCTGTTGGTTTATGCATATTTATACAATGTGTATATAATACATTTAAATTTAAAAAGGGAAGGGGAAAAATAACCCCTTTTGGGTTTAAAATATTTTATGGGTGCTCTGTTGGATTACAATCTATATGCTTTTCTCTCCCTACACCTGTCTAGCGAGGCAAATCTGCTCAGTTTAGATGACAGTGATGGGCCTTTCAGTCCCAATGAAGAAAAAAAGGTAAATAATCTGTTTATCTCATGGTGAAATGTATCTTTAAAGGTTCTTTAAAATGTATCTTTACATGTATCTTTTTTAGGTTCTTAAACTGTATTGTATAGCCATGTCTGCCCTGTAAACGAGTTGAAGTTTCTGTGGTGTTTAAGGAGCATATGCTCAAGCTGCCTATCTTTGAAGTTTTTGTTTCCCTCTTRATTTGTATAGTATTCTGCAAATATGAGCACACATAACTAATTTTAAGTTCTGACAATTACCATAAACACTGTACTAAATGTAAAAGATGTATTGTGTTTTGTTTAGTAAGGAATCCTAGTGAGTAAAGGTKTAGACATATCAATTTTCCATGAAATTTGATACAAAAGCAATTTGAAAATTAGGCCTAAATAATATTTATGTTAATATATTGAATTAATTTTCTCCTCCTAACTTTTACACTATTATTTAATTATTTTACTATATGTGAATTCTGTTGCAACAGTCATTTCGTTGTCGACCTGGGACTATTGGCACCAGCAGTGATGCCATAAAAGCATATTCAAGGAGAGGCAAAGCTGGAAGCTTCAAACTTTTAAAAGGGAATGCAATCGGCCTCAACATGATGGGAAATAGCAAGAAGCTGAGGTAATACATWCAGTTCATGTTTCCTTGCTTATTTRATCRTTGATACAAATCAATACTAAATAAACAGAACTTATAGTCCATTTACATTATCTGCTGTGCATTTTAAGAAGCTGTACTGTACTGTGGTTCTGAGTAAAAAAATTAGATTTTAAAGTTCTTTCCTATTCCAAAATGTTTAACATCACATTAGTAAAATACCAGAAGACTGTTAAAATGGATTTAGAGCATTCACAGGCATATTTGTTTAGTACCTTACCCATGTTGCCTCCATGTGTTATTGTTTCCTCTRTACAGTGCAAGCAGGTAGGAAAATGCTTTTTTACGTCCCCATCCAGATTAATTTCTTTCCGTGACTCAAGGTTGATTCAGGATGCTTCTTCCGTTTTTCTTACTGAAATATATAATTTGATTTTGGATTTACGGGCTTTTTTTTACAGGATTCAGCAAATAGCTATTCTTATATAAGATTGCTTGAGATTGTCACTTGTGTTTAGAGCTGACAGGAACAGTCTTTGGGCATTCATTGTTGTACTTGCTTGTTGCTACTGTCCCTAGCTTGTAAGAGACTGATTTCTGTATTTGGTATRTAATAAAAAGTGATACATTCACCTRACTTTCTCAGGGAGTGTTTCATATTGCTAAAGTGCACTCAATTTGGTAACCTTTTACAGGAAGGAAAAGTTTGTAAGATACACAGCTATTGTTGGGCCACTCAAATATCCAGTGTATTTGTAGCTGCGTGAGGGGTGTCCCTGTCATCATYTGTGGTGGTTTATCACTGCCTGGAAACTAAACTCCAAATAAGTCACTTCTCTTCCCCCTACCCCCTCTGGTAAGAGATGGATAAAAGCAGAAACTATGGGTTGAGATAACAATTTACTGAAAGCAGACAGCAGTGGAGTAAGAAACTCACAGTGACAGTAGCAATATTAATAACAAAAGCATACAAAAAAAAAGGTAGGTGCTTTATGTACAAAAGGTGTTTGCCACCTGCTTTGATTTAGTTCTGTGTGGCCACTGGGAAAAAGACAGGATKGTGGGTGCTCCCTGCAGCTGGCTCTCCCCATGTCCAAACCTAAGGAAAACACTTACAGATAATGGAAAACCATGAGAAACAAACCCCTGAAAGCGAGATCGTCCATGTCCTGCTGCAGTGCCACTCCCTGTACCAGGCTTGGCTTCAGGCTTAGCTYGGGCTCAGTTCTGCTGCTGCTTTGGACCACTCTGCTGGGCTCAGTTCTGCATGGCTCCACTGCTTCTTTAGAACCACATCCCAGAGCARTGTTTACCACTTTCCAGAGCCACAGCCCAGAGCTGCATCTCAGAGCAATGGGAAGGTGGTGAGTAGCAGCAGCAGAGAATGGGTTTTGCAGGGCTGATCCTGGCAACTCAGCCCTGATGAAGAGAGTGAGACAAAAATGTCATTCTGGGAAAATGGTCCTTATTCTTCTCCCTGACACCACATCCTCCACCGATGACTTGAGAGGTACAGAATAGCAACATAGCCATACCCACCGAGGTCTAAGTTTCAGCCCCTCTCCGCAACCAGGACATGGTTCTTGTATGCTCTAAGCACCAGCCGTTAGTRGGACCATCCTCTCATAGTCACTTGAAAAGTGACTGTGTGATACGTGTTCTCCCCTGATGGTTTGGTCTTTGAACCTGATGTTTTGAGGTTAACTACCGGACTGTTGCATGGAACTTAAAAGAAGTTTCTTCTAAAAAGGAAGTTTATTTAATAATGACTGGGGGTTTTGTTTCAGGTTCTTTTTACATTTACACAAATTAGCATGGTACTACATTGTCCATTTATCTGTGCAAATAATGTGTTGTCTTTAGACTTTTTTTTTTTTTATACACAACAGATTTAAAAGATTATATGCAGATTTCTGTCTTACTCATCTTCAGATTTACCAGTTCATACAGAGCCATCCTTATCATTTCCATTTTTTAGGATTCTGTTCTTGAACATAAAGATAAAATTAACTATTACAAATCTGTCAGGGCTCCTTTTTCTCTGTTTTACTATGGAAGAGACCTGTGCATTTACATTATACTTGTTCTTTGTTTTGAGTACACCTTTAAAATAAGATTGCTCTATTTCTCTGGTAACTAGAGCTTTCCTTTGTCTGGCTGTGGAATTTGTAGTGAAATCCAGCCTCGCTGTGTAATCTCTTTTACATTTCTGTTAAAGCAGTCATACTTGACTGTACATGTATGTTTATACATATTGTACATGTGTGTTTTATTAAGTTCCAGAAGGGTATGCAGGTTTTGTTTTAGCTAAATAGTTATTGGGTTTTTTTAGATGGTCTAAGTATGTAGTTCAGACATTGTTAACTGCCTTTTATTAACAAATAACACAATATAAACGGAAGACCTAGTAGGAGTTATAAAATTCATCTAGAAAAGTAAAATCTGTTGCATGTAAATGGGCATCCACCTTTTGTCTAGTACTGAGCTGCATACTGAATTTGAATGAAAAACATGAGTATCTACCCTCTTCTTAATAAATGATCATTAATGAAGGAATTTAGTTGTGAATAATGGATAAATGTAGACCACTGTGACTGCTTCTCAGATTTTGGTAACTGCATTTCATGGTTATACTACAAGTAATAATCTAAATTTAATGATTTCATTGTAATAATTATTGTCTCTTTCACACCATGTGAATCAGTAAAGGTTTGTGGTCTAGTCACTTTAGTGATGATTGCTGGAYGTTCACTTTGATATGCAGAATGGAAGGTGCTTAATAGTTACTTTTTCAATAKTTAGACTCTTCAGCCAGAGAAGATTCTGAAATTTGATTATGCAGTTAAACTGCTAGATTAAATACAAGATTAGATACTTTATATTCTTCATCTGTTCATATTATGATTTTTATCACAGTATTGAAGTGTTGTTTTCCAATTAACCTGCAGAATAGGGATTAAAAATTTCAGATCAATGGGGCTTGACTCAAACGAGTGTTATTGTAGTACAGTAGTCCCTAAAATTCAGAGAATAAGAGATAGGAAGAAGGGATATACAAGGACAGTGAGAAAAAACTTTTGCTGTTCTTGTCAAAGAAATTTAAACGAACTAAAAATTCATGATCTGTTATCTGGTTAAGCAAATCCAGTATCAAACTCTTAACCCAATTAGTTTTGGTTGTATTTTTTTGAATCATGAGGTCTTACGTTAAATAACTTTATCATTGATGGCTTTCAGTAATTTCTATTAGGGCCCTTTTAGATTTTTTTTTCATAATTTTTTGTTAAGTTATTTGATGAACAGYAGAATTAATGTAGTCTGTTGTGTCTTTTGAAATGTTCTTCTGTTACTTCTAGGTCCATCCATCTGCCTAGCGCAATTTATTTTTTGCCTTCCCTGTTGAAATATGTGGTGTTAAGAATTTCCTAGGATCAGTTGATAGCACGTGAGGGTAAAATCTTGTTTTCATCAGAGCCTAGGCTTCAAATCATTCTGCTGTTTCTGAGCTAATATTAATGAAAAATTTATTGTTAATATACTGAAAGGTCTTTTTAGAATATTTGTTCAAGGAATTTTCTGGCCATTATATCACCCTGCTTTTACTGTGTTACCCTAATTTTCAAGAAACGGTGCTAAAATTTGCAAACTCGAACTTCAATTCTGATGTGCCTATTTTGCAACTCACTAGGACTTCATGATTTTATTTTCTGGTGTTTCTGTCTGCGTTGGGTATGTTCTATTCAGAGAACAAGATTGTAGAGCAGATTGTGTTTTACAGCTGTCCTAGTTGGAAACATATCTGACACCATATGAACCATTTAAGTGTGCCATCAAGAACAGTCTGGGTTGACTCAGATCTGATCCCTGAGCAGTCTGCGATACTCTATTCCAGCACCTACTGGAGTTTTCACTACATGAAGCAGAAAGCAAAAGTGCTGCYTAACAGTTTTTTTCTGCTGTGGGGGCACAAGACAGAGTTTCACAGTCATGATAGTTTGGCAAAGTACAGATTCAGCAAATRCAGTGGAGAAACAGGAGAGACATAGACTTGCTTGCTTGTTTAAAGTCCTTTGGTCTTAAACATTTGAGAAGGCATTCCTGAGGTCTGCTTTCTGTTTCCTCCAGATGYAATGTCATTTTTCAAAGACATTACATGGGAAGCTAAAGAGGATTTGAGACATTCTAAAGTATTTAGGGCATATAGCTGTTAGCTTTTTATTTCTGAGGTGGCAAATTAGACAGAAGGTTGACAGTAAATTGATCTGGATGATGACTGACCAGCTGAAGTTGTGTTGTCTTAACTTAGAAGCATGTGAGATGACTGTGTTTACATTCAGGAGGTTGGTGTTTGAATGGATGCTATTTTCAGGAAGTTGAACTACTAAATCAGATGGTTTATGATGTTTATAAATTTCATATTCTAGAAAAGAGAATTTAGCTGTTTGGGTTTGATAAATCTTGTTCTGTTATGTTTATGGGTATGTTAGGGTCAGTCAGAAATGCTCTGGAAGCTTCTAATCTTGACTTATGTAAGGCTTCCAAAAGGGTTTGTAAATGCTAAACTGAAAATTAAAAGGCAGAATAATAGTTTATTTGTTTTCTTCTTTTGGAGGAATATAWAGGAGGGGTTAGGAATTGGTTGTTGGCTTTTTTTGAATTTTGGTACTTCATGTTCCTTTCCATTGTTCACAACACGACAAATGGCAAGATAATATTTCTGAGAAATATTATTAGTAGGACTGCTTTTTAGCATCATTTTGTTTAGCACAGTTAAAATTTCTAAGCAAGTTTAAAAGCACAGTTTAAGCACTGTATTTCCATAATTTGAAACAGTTTGCATCATTAACATGCTGCCTGTTAAAAGCTGTGTGTTTTTTTAACATGACAAGTATAGCATTGTGTGTCCTGTGACAGCAGTGTGCAGGATAATTGTTAGGGTTTAATGATCTTTGAAGGAGCACTGTATTACTGATCTACTGTATCTTAATGTCAGCTTTTACTGGAGAAGCTAATGGAAAGAAATCTTCCTTTCATAATTACTGGAATTATATAATAATGAGATAAAAGTCAAAAGGCAACAAATGAAGAAACCCAAGCAGTGCTAAAATACATTGGTGAATAAGAGTCTAATTGAGATATGAGTAGCTGCGAAACCTTCCTTTTTTCTTTTTGAGATATGTTGGTTTTTTTCAGTTACAAGTCATCTTGGATCCATAGATTTGCTGTGTTTACTTTTTTTGTGAGGGACATTCCTGAGTTCAGTCTRTTCAGGTTTTGCTCCTCAAGTCATACTAGAGAGGTTAGTATTATGCCTTAATAAAATGAGAGATGAAAGTATAAAATTAATTATAAATGATTACAAGTCTTTAAAAAGCATGGTGTGTTTTTGCAGTACACTGTTGAATAAAAAAACCTTTTCTTCCAGGGAAAAAGAAACTTGTGTATATTCTTATTTGTCCATTTTATTATGAGGTGGAATGTTTTCAAAAGGATCCTAACAATTTGTATTATTGGTTCAGAAATACTTTAATTTTTGGTGTTGTGTGACTGTTCTTGTAAAATTAGAATAGCAGATTTTTTACCTAAGCCTGTACAAATACATCAGGGTATTTTCTTAAACATTTWTATATATATTTGCAGTGAAAATGCTCAGAATATTTCTGGTCCTGTAACTGTGGTACATGGCAGACGTTTTCACCATGCACATGCACAGACAACCGTAGTAAAAACAGCAGCCCAAAGGTAAGACTAATTACATTTGTTTCTCTAGATGTTTCAATYGTAGAAAGTCCTGTCTTGTTTTGTATGTAATGGTTTTCCTTATGCTATGAAGTGTTTYAAGAAAATGTAAGTAATCACATGGGTGCATTCTTGATTACGAGCTTTGACCTTAATTACCGAAGTTCCATAAAACTTAACCATTTAGGAATTACTATCTTATAATACCAGAATTTAGTAATCTTAAAAGAACACTGGCACATAATAAGAGAGTACTTGCTAATACAAATATTTTTAGAAAATACTTTGAAATAGACATAGTATGCCGTAGAAATTTACACAACTGACAATATGAATTGCAAATACTATGTCACAGCAATTCCAGCTTGTGTGAGATCCTTCTAAATACTAAATTACGGATCTGATGATTGTRTGTGCTCTGTAAATGGAGCATAAAACATGTAAATTGTAACATTTAGCAGTAGCAAGGTTTTACATTTATGTAAATAATTATTAGAAAGGATGACTGGAGACTGGGARATCTTACAGAGCTATACTGAATTAAACTTCATTGGTTTGAAAACTTAAAACCCCATCAGACTTTTGTTAATTGCAGGGCTGTTTCTAGATGTTTTAAGAGGTTTTTCACACCCAGCGTGTTATACAAACATCTGAGATACTCATTATTTTAGGGAATTTTCTTTCRAAGTTTGTTCATTCAGAGCTCTTTTTGTTTATGAATTCCATTGATGTATACCATCTCACGAGTGCTTTATTCAGAATTTTGTAGCATCTTTCTTCTGCCACCTTTTTTCTTCTCGTTTTTTTAGTATAGATTTTTTAGGGTGGTGGGATCATGTGTAGGCATCATTKTTTTGGTCATCCTACTTCCCTCACTTGGATTTACTAACTTCAGARAAGCCCATATACTAACGTGAATGAATAATGTATTAGGGTATTCTGGCATTAAATAAACAGACTGAAAAATGGATTTGACAGTCACAAAATAATAGACTCATAGTTAGTTTGGATTGGAATGGGCCTTTAAAGGCCGTCTAGTCCAGCCCCCCTGCCATAAGYGGGATATCTTCAGCCATATCAGGTTGCTCAGAGCCTCCTCCCACCTGACCTTGAATGTTTGCAKGGGTRTGGCAGCTGCCACCTTTTGGGTGAGCCTGCTTTGGTGTTTTCACCACCTTGTTGTAAAACACTTCTTTTTCCATCTACTCTGAATCTACCCATTTTTAGTTTTAAACCATTACCCCTTGTCCTATTGCAACAGRCTCTACTAAACTGTTTGTACCTACCTTTCTTGTAGGCCCCCTTCAAGTACTGAAAGGCTGCAATAAGGTCTCCCCAGAGCTTTCACTTCTACAGGCTGAAGAACCCCATTTCCTGCAGTCTGTCCTCATAGAAGAGTTGCTGTCTTAGCCTATCCTTTGAGGGCTTAGGTTGTTGCACTTTCCATTTCAAACAGTACTGTTATAATCTGTAAATGGGATATAGGATGGACATTTCCTTCCCCTTTAGTAATAGCAGATGCAATAGTAGCTATCTCTCTTTTCAGTTCTTTACATTTCTTACAATTTTTCCCATCAGTGCAAAGCTGGAATGACTAAAAAGRATTGGCAATTTTTACCATGAGTTAAGCTGAAAGATGGGGTTTATGTTATCACTGTGGTTTAGGGTGAATCAGCTGTGCTTTTTCTTGCATKAAGTTCTTTTTAGAATATTTTTGTTTAGTGTCCAATTGAGGAAAATATGGGGCATTTCCTAAATTTTCTAAGCATTCATGCCCCTACCTTTCTGGTGGGTTTTGTTTGTGTTTGTGCTTGCTTTTGTTTGTTTGTGGTGTTTTTTGGGGGAGGAGTGGTTTATGGGTTTTCTTAATAATTCTGAGGCATAAAATTTTGATCTGCAGAGCTAATGAAAATTACTTGGAGTAAGGGAGACTGCTTTGAATGTTGGCTTAGACAGTACTTGATTGTGCTTTGTTGTGAGATGGTTGTCTGGAACAGCCAGTCAAAATGGATTCATCTTACCAGGCTGAGTGTCATAGGTTTTTTTCAGCCTTCTCCAGATATTCCTAATTTTCAGGGGATGTTAGATTTCCCTACTTGCCTTTCTTGCCTGTGGGCCTTGCTTCTTTATAAGCCTACAATGTAATGTGAAGAAAACAAAGATAGTGACGTGGCATGTGTGACGTGCAGAAATTCAACTAATGCATAACGTAGGCAAGCTGAGCATTAGGTAAAGTAATTGGATAGTAGTCATCTTGAGTGTTCTAAATATGTTTTCTTTTAGGATTGTTATTGTAGTTCATTTACATTAGAAACAGACAATTARCTCTTATGCTAGTAATATTTTTGGAGTTTTAAAGGCAGGAAGTAGTCAGCAATCCTAAGTAATGGTTTGTTACTGGTGGATTTCAGAACCATCATGRTCTAATTGACTGAGGGTGAGTTTTACATAGGAACTTTGCAAATGGTGTTTAATTCCAGTAGCTTCTGACTCAACTGACTGCTTTTTAAAAGCTTCTAAATCTGTTTCTGAGTTAGAGGATTGAAAATTGGTAAAACACGGCTTCCTGACAGACTTTTTTTTAATAAATAAAAGGAGAGGGATTTCAGGGCTACTTGATGTTAAAAGCATAGGTTTCTGAGTGAGAAGGCAGTAGTCAAAAAAAGCCAGCTAAAATAGGACTATTTAAAACATTATGTGAAATTCCAGTTCATATAAAATGGGTAATATATTTTGGTCGTATATTTTTACTTGTGTAGGATGTTTGTTATATCCTTTTTTGGCTTGTCGTTACTGACATTTTGGTAATAGTTAGAAGTAAATAGTGATGGTGTTTCCTCAAAAATGACTRTTTGCAGGAATTGTCAGTGGCAAACCAATAAGAATTCTAGGTATGTATCAAGACAGAAGAGCTGGTAGCATGGAAATTGATCTTTAAGGTGTTGGGTTTTGTTTTCCTATGCTAATTTACAGGTGACAGAGTTGTGTTCTGTTAATTTTTTGCATTTATAGTTTGGTGAACAGTGACAACATGGRGAAAATAATTTTATCCATCTTAATATATTGTACTCAAATCTATGGTAGATTCTTGATAGGATAACCAAGAATAAAAATGTTATTAAATGAGTCAAGCAATTTTAGTCTCTGGCACTGACATTGCAGATTATGTTACTTGTACTGGGTTCTTTGGGTGGGGATGGTATCACATGGGGCAGAGTGATTATGAACTCAGTTATAATCTCTGTCAAGTTGAATTTGGAGTGTGTGATTTGTACTGTATTTCTTATCTCCTACARCTTTTTTTGCACATACATGTTAATTTAAAGTTTGGCTAAGTGTGTATTGCACTGATAGGTAAAATTCAGTATCTCAAAGTACTRTTATGATAAATATTATTCAGGGTTTTTTCAGTGGAATCAGGGGATTAAATTAAAATTTGTTCATGTCTGATACAATGGATTTTCAGGTATATTTTGGCCTAGTGTTGTAGTTGGTTCAAACTATTTAASCTCATTTAATGGATGCATAGTTGTGTCTTATGCTATTGACTGACTGTTCTTCAAGACTTGGCATTGAAATAGCATGTATGGTACTGCATGTTTAACAAACCTTATGCATGGACTTCATGAAGCAGTTGGTAGGGACAGTGATCAATCTAGAATTCTCACCTCTTAATCTTCCTGAGCTATAAAAGTGATTATTATTGTTCTTATGCATTTAAAGGCATTATATTCATGGGGGATTTTAAAACAAACAAGGCATCTGATGTAATGACAGTGTATAGTACCAGACATTCTGGAAATTGTTTTCCTTCCTTTAAGTTTCCTTAGCTTTAGGTGTGTTTTCCTTAACAGGGTGACTCTTAGAAGCACCTGAAAACAGTTAGTGCAAGTTACATATAAATTGTGCCAAGGATGCAAAGGTAATGGATATGGCTCCCTACAGACATGGTTTGGATCTAACTGCATTGATAAACTGGSATGTGACCTGCACAAAAGCAGTGTTTATTGTTTGTAAAGGCTAGCTCCAGCTAGGAGCAGTTTTTCCCCAACTTCACCCAGCACTGGCTCATTACCTCCCACTCCAGTTTTAAGTTGCCACAGTCACATTCAGTTTTGAAGTGTCCTTTTAATCTCTTCCCAGAGCACTRTGGAGACAGAATGTACTGCACTCTGCAGGATTATCAGGACCTTCTTTGCTTCCACTCCTGCTGTTTTCTTAGTAACAAGAGAATTAGAGTTTGCTCTCTTCTTGTGAGTGTTCTGTTTGTGAAAAGGAAAGGAGGATGAATTTTTATTACTGTCTGATGTCATTACTCTATTTAGCTTGACTGAAGTAAAACAGGAATCAATTTGAATTTGTTCTGTTTTAGAATGCAGTTAATGTAATGCATGTATGTCGGAAGTTTGTTAGGCTTTTGATGTTTGGGAGTAACAGTCAAGTACATTAAAAGCTTACAGCATTCTATATTGCAAACTTTGAAAAGACAAAAGACATGTAGATGCTATTTTCAAGTTGTCTGTGTGCTGAGCTTAGTCAGATTTATATTTATATCAGTCTTGGTATGCACAGGACCAGAACTGTGAGCATCAGCTACATTCATTTATATGTTAACTCATGTTAAAGGAGATGCTTGTAAAACTAGTGGCCCTAGTTCCTAACTTCTTTTGGGAGATTTTTTTTTGCCTAAACCTCAGAAAGGTTTCCATTTATCCTTCTCTAGCCTTTCCATGTTGTTTCTTAAATATTTAACGACTGCTGCTGAATTATTTTTTTCAATTTAAACTCACATTTTTTAATATGAGTTGGAAACAAGTTCTTACATAATTTTTTTTTTCTCTTGTGCATGACAATCAGAAATGGTTTTAATGGTTGGCTTCTGTCTTAGCAGTCTTTTCCAACGTTAATGATTTTGTGATTGGAAATGAGATTTGATATCAATTCTGTCTTAGAATTCTATCTTACTGGCTTCTACATTGCAAGTGAATTGAGATGACCAGTGTAAGTTCAGAATGAATCAAATTTTACACATTGAAAAAGAGTCAAGTCAGTGTAGGATTTAGACTACTGGCTGTTGCAGTCTGTGAAGTAACGTTTGTGCGTTTCAAATTACTTTGACAAAATTGTGGTGRAAAAATTGTGCTTGTTCAAAAATTGGACTGGTTAGCGCAAGAGACAATGAAACAGTTACTATCTATATTTAATAAATTGCATTTAGTGATGTTCAACACATTTGGGGCTTTRCATCTTATGTGTTTTTTTCTTTTTTCATATTTTAAGCAATCTGGATCGAAAGGAAAGGTAAGCTTACTGTTGAWCAAATGAGCATGGCAATGAGCATTAAGAAAATTAACTGATTGAATGCTGTATTATTGCTAGTTAAAGAATATTCARTTCAGTCAATCATATGTGCTCATATGTGATGGGGGTTGGTTGCTTTATGTTATGTTTTTATGGTTCACTTACTGTTTTATTGAAAAAGGACATRTACATCCATCTCTAAGTAATGTCTTACTGTGAATTTTGAGTTCGTTTTCACTGGAAACTTCTTTATATATCCAATGCAAAATTGCATAAATATTCTCTGAATTTCAAGAATTCACTGCTAATTCTTTTTGTAGTGCAGCAAGCTTTGTRTAATAAAGTGGCTCTGTTTAACAGTTTTCACTATCATCTCTGCTTGGTTTGAACAGCAAAGGTTTTTATTGCATTACTGTGTATATTTTGTTCATGAAGTGTATATGTTAAAGCAGTTAACAGAAAATGCGTAGCAAAACCTGACACACTGGTTTTTCATAGCTCATTTTAGGCTCATTGTTTTACTTGCTTTGCATCTGGTTTACTGCTGTTAATTTTTTCRTAGCAGTATGAAATACCATACATTTCTTTTTCTTCATATGTGGCTTGAAGTTATATGTTAGTGAAAATATTTTCTTGATAGTAATGAATTCACTGAGTTTTTGTAAATATCCTGTCTATGTAGGTGGCCTTTGGCAGTATGAACTTGCTATCAGGTTGAATTGTSTAAAAAGTGTATATAATGTTTAACCAGTAATGATACAAATAGCACAGTTCTTTGTGAATTCAGGATTTTCTAGATTTATTTCAAATTCCAAAGTAAAATTATGCCTCTCTGTTTTACTGCCTTTTGTTACTTCTTAAAAGAACTGCCARATAGATACCATACAGTTAGTGTCACTGTATGGCATAGAAGAAAAGGRCTGAGTTTCAATGCTGGTGTGATCTTAATTTTCTCATGGGGACACCTGCTGCTTCTTCATCCAGTACTACTGGATCTGTTCCTTTTTCTTTCCCTGCTTTTTGTTGTTGTCCTAGCAGGGGAAGATGATGTAGRCAGGAGCTGCTAAATTTAGCTTTAATCATTACTGTCATGATAAGTGCAGCAGCAGCTCCTGACTTTCTGGGCCAAATGGGGTTGCTGACCTGTGTTCTGAAGGCCCAATTCCCCGTGCTGCTGCTTCTCTTTTCAGCCTTTGACTTTTGTACTCTGTTCTTCCTCTAACGCACGCTGAAGGTAAATCTCATCTCAGCAGCTTTGTGCTTCAGTCTTATTGTGCTTTACTCTCTTTTTGTGTAATGTAGAAACCAACAGCCTGCCTGCAATGGTACATCTCCAAATAGTAGCATAGAGGAGCAGAGGGAAAGGTTGAGTGAGGTGGCCCCTCAAAGAGACACGCTGTGCATTAGAAACAGTTCTTGTGTAAGCTTGCACCTCAACAAAATTAAGAGTTGATGCAGCCTTTTTGATTTGGCTTGTACCAAATCATAGATAGCACTGTCTCCCAAATTCCCAGATCCAGATGTTTCTTCATGTTTGTTTTCTGGCATGGCCAGGAATTGTAGTTCTGCCCCTTTCTCCCATCCTTCCCCACTCCTCTGTTTTTTCTTTTCCTAGAGAAGAAATTTGAAGTGAAAATGTCATTTTGGCTGGAAAGTTTCATAAAGGTCTGTCTACAAGGCCAGTGTGAAGATACTAAGGTCCAATTACATCAGCAAGGGAATATAGCAGTAATAATGATGTTTGCTGAAAATACGAAACCAGTGACACCATTCTGTCGGGGCAAAACATGTTTAGTCAAAAATACTGTYGCGTTCAGCTGTTAAGATATGTCAAAAGTTCATGATGCTGCACAGTCCAGACTGCCTCAGCTTTTCAGTTCTGTCTTTTGCAGAAAAAGCCTAGTCTTTCTTGGTACTATAATTAATGTTCTGCTGTTGGATGCTTCGCTACTTCTTGACACCGCTTTTTATCAAATACTTGTCTTCTTCCCTTCTGCTTAATCGTATTAAAAGTACTTATAACCTAAGAGATAAACAAGATGCGTAAAATTGCTTCACCTCTGAGCATTGGTTTTTCTTTAGGCACAGTATATAGGTATTCTGTATTAGATTAGCTCTGCTGTTCAATGCCTCARTTATTTCCATTGAAATGAAGACCTAGGTTTGGGTAGAGTTCAACGGCAAGAAGGCACTTGTTTTTGAAGTTTTGACTTTATTTTTTGAAGTATTGTATGGTTTTTTATCACTTCTAAGATATTTTTTTCTTTTCCAAATTGTCCTTTTCAAGGTAGGTGTATTTTAAAAACAACATTTTTTAATGTTTGATTTAAAAAACAACCCCAGTTTGCATTCTGTTACTKCACTGCACTCACACTCAATTAAGTGGTCACTGTACTAAGTGTTTTGCTGGAGAAGGTATTGACAGATTTGCGGCTGTTCAGACAGCAACAAACACTGCTCAGAGGGGCAACTTCGTTTTCTAGTCTGTAAAAACTTAATGGTGCTATGCTCTTCCTTTGTGGATTTTTCAGAAAAGCTGCCCTCTTGTGGAACAGCTTCCACTGTCTCCAAGAAATCTTTTTTTTTTTTTTTTTTTTTAAGATGAAATCTAAAATTTGGTACTGTTTAAAGTTGTCTTCACTTTTCTTTCTAATTCAAAGCAGCTTCAAGCCTGACCTTGAATTGCTAACCACACTAAAGTGTGTTGGGAAGCTCAGTTGTCTTGGAASTGGTTTTTGTGACTTGGATTTGGTTATTACTGGTTCATTGTGAATATATGAATAACAATTSTGTATTGTGGGAGAAGAAAAGTTGACCTTTTTTTGCTGCCTCTCCTGTATTCTTACAAGTGTTTGGCCATTTAATAGGTATCAATATGAGTCTATGCTGCTAAYGTAAAATTAGACAGGGGTAGAGAATTACTGTGTTCTCATTTATTGTAGAATTATTTATAATGAAATTATAATCTTAAAAAAAAAGTATGTTACATATTAAAAATAAAATACAAATGTATGATTCTTAGAAGAATTGTGACTTAGAAATGTCCAGAGACCTTGAATTGTCAGATTCATTTTAAAAGAAATTTTAGTACTCTAAATCTGTCATATCATTTGTTTTCAATTAAATGGCAAATAGTTTCARTATTGTTTCTCTTGAATGTCATTTGCATTACATATTTTAGCCATCTTATAGAAAAATATTTTTCCAGAAGTAATTATGCTCAAAACAAGACTTATTATTATTAAATACTAGTGAAAAGATAATTTTGACATGTGAGGCCACAGCTTATATATTCTTACAGAAGTTTTTATATTTTTCAAATCTAAAATGGTGTTACAGGGTTTCTTCTATCCTTTAGRATGTCATTAGCATTGGTAGTAGAGTTTCTCATTACATAATGATGAGTTTGAGCTCTGTCTTTTATTTCTATTGATTCTGCCTTAAAATAATCCCTTGTGATTTGAATTTTAAAGAAAAATTATTTTTAAAAAGTGTTTAGTTATTGAATATTCATACTGAAGTCCCAATTTTGGTTCAGTTTTTGTGTRTGCAAGTATTAAAAAAAACTTTTGGGAGATCAGGATTGTGTCAGAAACACATTTGACACAATTAGTAACAGATAAATTGCCTAATCTATCATCTGTGATATGTTTACCAGCAATCATGTTCAAGTACTATGACATCTCTACATTCGATGTAGCYATGCTTGTTTCTCAGTCCTTCTTTCAGCCAGAATTTTCTTTAAAACTACAGCCCATCCATACAGTCAGATGTGTTTGGTATTAGGTAAGAAGTATCCCAAAGGGCACTGTCGATTAATCTTGTTCCAAAGATATTAGTTAATGATATTACCTAGAAATGCAGAAAATTCAGAGGTTTTATAATTTGATGCATTAGGAAATCTGTGCTGAAAGAAATAAAATCTTATACCTAGTGCCAAAGTCTACTTTAGCCATAGCCAAATTTTTGTCAGATGGGTCCTCAAAATATAGCTGTTAATGGAGATGTTAYTGCCTACAGCTGCTCGCATTGTCCCTTTGCTCTTGATTAATGTCCTTGTAATCAGAGGGAGCAGTATGCAACATGTGTGACCCTTTTTGCAGCCCAGTGCTTAACTTTCCAATAAAACGAGTTTCAGCAGAATTTGTTGGCTAGRCCTCCTGTGTTTCAGATGTATGGCATCCTCTGTTATGACAAGAACAACAATCTATAGCTGCAGGGCTGAGCAAGCACTGAGAAAGAAAAATGCTACAAACAGTAACCTACATGCACTGAGCTTCAGGAATCTTAATGTGGTATTAGCATGATTTGACACACGTGTAAATTGAAAACATCTTTCAGGAGATTCAAAGAAATCTTGCTATAATGTCATATATTGCATTGATTTGCCCAAAAACATGTGATATCTATATTATGTAAGTTATACCAACAAAAGACTTACTATGCAGTGATTTGTCTATATTACATTTTTTTAAAATAAATATATAGGAAACATGTCTGCTGTGTTCTTTCTGATGTTTGGCCACAACAATTTTTGACATTGGATCTCTCTCCTCTTTTTGCATCTTCTCTTTCTTTTTTATTTAAGTTGTGGAATCTACTATAATATTAAAATAATAGTTGCTTCTATTCTTGACTTTTAAAAGTATCTGTCTAGTATTTCATGAATGAGGAGGAGGAGGAGAAGATGCAGGCTTCAGTATTTGGAGACTTGGGTCTGAAAGTGACAAACTCCAGAACTATTGATTATTATAGAGATTTAGACCAGAAACACATCTGAGACATTTGCTATGGCTGTTTCTATCGTTTTGGTATTACTTTTTATCTGTACAAATAGCATGTAATAGGAGAAGTTACTTACTCATAGCTTTCAGATACATTTCAGGTGTGTTTTGTTCATGTATAATTGTGACTAAATTACAGTGGTGTCTGTCAAAAGAGCAACCATACATCTAATTCATTTTCCAGGAAAGAATATCCACCTCAGCTTCAGAAAGTAGAGGCAGACCACATTAGATTACCACGRTCTCAAGGAGTGGGTAAGTTATCTTTAGAGTTCTCGTTTGTTCTAAGCAAAATAATTTTTTTAATACCTGATTTAGGCAGTTGTGTTTCCAAATCTTAGATAACTTTTAGTATATATATATTTACAGCCTTAAATCGTGGTATTCTGGTTTTGTACAAGTTTGTGCACAAAGGGAGGATTTTGCCCTCCTTGACAGATGTCTGCAACTAGTTCAGTCATGTAATAACTTTAAATTAGGCATCAGTTATTTTAAAAACAACAGAAATAGGGAAAATTTAGAATCATAAAATTGGAGATGGAACAGATCTCTGGAGCCCAGAGATACAAATTGTCAGGAGGGACACTGCAGTAGTCTTAGTAAAACAACATTTTTGAAATTACTTTGGGGAATGTTTTTTTTTTTAATTCATACAACAACTCATGAGACATTTGAAACAATGTTTCTTGGGGATTTAAAAAATATTTTTATGTCTAGTTCAAGTTAGTGTATGTAAAGAAGTAAGTTGATCATAATTATAACAGCAGGTTAATAGACATATCTTGTTAATGCTTTTGCATCTTTTCCCTCCTAGACAGTGTAATGGAAAATGATGAATCAGAATCAGAATCTGAAATTAAGAGAAAGGTGCGACAGAAAGGTCATTGCAATTCATATCAATCGGACTTGAGTCTATCCTCTGCTACAAAAAAATGCTTAACTCAGTCAAAGGTGGGTTATATTTTAAAAATGTGTAAACTCTTGTTGAACTTTAAAAGTTTCTGTATATTTTAAAAACAGAGATTCAGGAGCAAAACAGATTGATGTTTTAAAAATCCTTGGAGTTGGGAGGAGGATTCACTTAATTATAAACAAGTTWCAGTGATTTAAGTGCTAGTATTGTTTCTAGCCATGAAATACTTCTTTTCTGATTTGAACAAGCAGATGCTGCACTGAAAAGACAAAGAATCTGTGGTTTAACTGAATGGCTGATTGGTAAATCAAAGACTGATAATTTTAATATGCTGAAACAAAGGAAGAATATTTTGCTCTTTGACAGATTTTGAAATTTTTTTTTTAGTGTCATGATTTTCTGTACTCAAAGCAGTAACGATAAAAGTACTGCAAAGATGCAAGTACTTCTTTTTAAGTTGTTCACTTTTTCAGTGAGGGTAACTCTTTAGGTATACAAATGACATTCTCTTGTTTAGATGCAGCCAACCAGGATGTTTTTGTTAGGAACTTGTTTGAATATCAGATGTAAGATACATCGTATTTTTTATCAACTTCCGAGGTTACTTTGGAAGTTTCATAATGCCCACATACAGATCACCCGGTTTGACTATCAAAGCAWAACTTCCTGTAAGGACATCTTGGTTAAAAAAAATGAAATTATAGATCTATGATTATTATATATGCTTAGCTTTTGTTTGAAACACCTTTTACTGCTTCTGTGAATTTCCATTGCTTATTTAGTTAATTAATATTATGTTAATAAGGAAACTGGTTTAAAATTTTTAATGTGTGGTTGAAATAGACAGGTGCAATTACTCTATACTTAAAATGCACCAGGTACTATTGGTACCTTCCCTTGACTCTTTTAATGTGTGATTGAAATTCTTCAATGTGATAAGCTGTATCTTTTTAAGAACTAGATCCTGTAGCAGCACTGAGGCACAACACTGGTTTTCATGTCATTCTGTCTCATCCCACAACTCAGATTTTAAGGGTCTGATATATTTTATACACTTGGAGTTTTTTGCTTCTGTTTCTTTATGGATATGTAGCTTTGTTAAATTGCAGAAATTTTGTAAAAATTATATGTTCTCATTGTATGACTTTTATTTTTAAATTTGAAATTACTTCCCATACCTGAGGAAATCCTCTATTGGAAGCATGTTCATGGCTGGGAGTAGAGAGAGTTACAAATTGTGACAGCTGTGTTTTGAAGGTAGACTCTGTTTTTAGTGGGATGTAGTTATTCGTTGACTGCAGTAGTTCACAGTACAGTGGTTATGCCATTTGAGTTCAGTGCTCCAGGAGACAGCAACATGCACTAAATTTCATCTCTGGAGATGTCCTGTACTCACTTTGGTACTCATTCTGGAATTTATGTGTTAGTATTGAATCCCTTAGATTTTGAAGTTCAAGTCCTGGACTTGTAATACAAATTCAAGTGCAACCTAGTAAATGTGAGAAAACCAAAAGACATCTGTCATTTCAGTGATAGGATACATTTCCTTTGTAGCCACTTATTTCTTCTTGAAAGTTTAGGGAACTCCTATTCCTCAAGTCCTGTTTTCTTCTGTACAACACTTGACTTAAGAGCAGTGTGTGTGTATGTGCTTTGCCTTTTCCTTGTCTTCCTCGAAGAGTGAATTTTCTGGCATGCTTTGCTGGGCTRTTAGAAATCTTAAAAGGGTAAACAAATATGACCTACAAGGTTTCTTCAATTCCTCTCCAGCAATGCTCTGTGGATCCTTAGGTTACTTTTTTATGCCCAATGAAATTGTTTCTACAGAAATGATGTAAGTGGACCATCTTGCTGATGGATATATGTATCTGAACAGTTCGTAGTGTTTCACTTATGGAAGAAAAAGCCAGAATGAAAATTTRAATTGTCCAGCATTAATTACTTTTAAAAATTGCCACAAATTACATTTGTTCTTTTTAGAACATTTTTCATTTTCTTAAATAAAATAAAAAATCAAGTTGCGGTTTAATGTTTTTTTTCTCTGCTCACTGTAAGTGCTAATGTAGTGTTGTCAATCTCCACTGGCTATTGTGAAAAATTTCTTCACCAAAAAAGATTTTCAAGTACTCAAGAAGATTCGAGGGATGTGGTTGAGTCACCATCCCTGGAGATATTTAAGACATGTAGATATGGCATCTGGTGATATATTTTAGTGATGACTTGACAGTGCTGTGTTAATGGTTGGACTTGATAATGTTGAAGGTCTTTTCCAATCTAAGTGATTGTATGGTTCATTCTAAACAGAAATTAAGTACAAGACCTGGAAATTGTAGCTTTCTACTTAAAACTACTGATTGTGTAATTGTTTCTCCTTTAGCTTTTGGAACAGATTGATTATTCTACTGATTGCCCAAATTGTGGGAGGGCAAATGAAAATCAGACCAAATGCCGACATTGTGAAAGTGCTTCTCTGAAGGATTTGCAAAGAGTCTCCAGACAAACTGTGACATTAAGTGAATCTGTGGGACCTTTATCACGTTCTTCAATACATCAGAATTCAACAGGGCAAAAATCTTCAGGTACAGGGTTCAGCACAAAGAAGTTTTATAGTTCTGCTGTTGGAAAAGGTCCAGCGGATATTCTACTGAGTAATGAGGTTGTAGGACATTCTATGTTACGACAGAATGGAAAAGTTGGTCTTATAACTGGGACAAAAAATCCTAAAATTACAGGAAGCTTAAGACAGAGGACTGCAAGACCGTCTGAACTAAATGATCCAAGTAAGTACCTTTTTATGAATACAGCCATTAGCTGGAAACCCAGTATATTGTATAGTGAAGGAACTGTTTGTGCGGGTTTACATAACTGATGTTGCATGGCATTTTTTTGTGTATATGTTCTTGGGGAAGAGGAACAAAACTTTTAATTACTTATTTTTCATATGCAGAGGTACTCTTCAAGAAAGGTGAACATTGGGGAAAACAAATTACTTTGTGATCATTTTTCTTGGTTTTTAATAATTATTTATACTTTGTGCTTTTGGAAAAAAGTATTCTTAGAAGAATTCCATCATATATTCTCCCAAGAGGAAACACAGTATTTGATTTTTATATTGTGTTTTTCCCCTTTTCTTCTGAGCTATGCATCTGTTAAAATTTCATAATTTGTAAAATGTTAGTTTTTGTGCTTTCTCTGTAAACTCACCCTGTAAGAAGGAAGGATGGAGTAGGGGAAATYATGTTTCTGGTTCTGTTCTTAGTTTATTAGACCATGTTGTCCTACTGGTTTGAACCTTTTCAATCATAATTTCTCTTGTTGGTTTTTAGRTTGTATTATTTACTGTCAATTCTTGATTGAACCAACAAAAGTTCACTTCTGTCTAGAGGTGGATTATTGATACCCATTTTTTGTATAGTTAAGTTACAAGAAATCAAAAACTATGCAGAAAGTGCTTGCAATTAGGTTCCAGATAATCATTCATAAAGGCATTATGTTATGATATATGTGGGCTTTTTTGACACTGCAGGACAATAACATAAATTACTTTTAAGCTATTACTTTAAAAGAAATTTCTGTTACAGAAAAATGTAGTAGTTGAGAATGTAATACTTTCTGTTTAGTTGTTTTGTCTAGTGATGAGGAGGAGGAGAATAGTGGCAGCATTAGGAGCATGAAAAGCATTTTACCTCGTCCTGCAGATTCACCCTGCTCCTCTCTARCTCCTTCTACAGGAAAGGTGGAAGAAGCTTTAAAGGAAAACAGTTGTGGAATAGAGCAAAGAATAGGTAGTATAACAACAGATACAGATATTGCCATCACACTACCAAGAAAAGCCAAGAATGAAAAAAGAAATTTTTGTTACAGAAAAATGTAGTGGTTGAGAATTTAATATTTTCTGTTTAGTTGTTTTGTCTAGTGATGATGATGAGGACGAGAATAGTGGCAGCACTAGGAGCATGGAAAGCATTTCACCTCGTCCTGCAGATTCAGCCCGCTCCTCCCCAGCTCCTTCTACAGGAAAGGTGGAAGCAGCATTAAAGGAAAACAGTTGTGGAGTAGAACAGAGAATAGGTAGTATAACAACAGATACAGAAATTGCAGTCACACTACCAAGAAAAGCAAGAATGAAAGATCAGGTACTATTTAATGCTTTGTTTAAAGAAAACAGAATCACATAATAAATGGAATATGTAAAGGCTTGTTTTGCATTGTCAGAAGTTGACTTTATTTGATTGTTTTTCTTATTCAGCAGCTCATCAAGTAGTATCTCTGCATACTTAATACTGGAAACAAGAAAATGTGTTACTATATTTTTATAAGCAATCATAATGATTTTAATTATGCTGTTAACATAAATACTTCTGCATTGAATTTACTCTGAGACTGGGCAGGGATTCTCTGTGAAGCTCAGGGTCTTCGTTTGCAGAATGTCAGTACCAGCTGATACCTGTTGAGACTTCATGTAGTTAGACATGAAAAGAGACACTGATCAGTAACGGCCCTTTCAAATTAAAATGCTCTGACAACTCTCCCAATTAATAGCACTTATTTTAGGGCTTGTGTTTTTTAGTTGAGTACTACTATAAGAATTGGGTAAGAATTGGCAAACACAAAAAAGTACTCCATGAGYACACCTTAAATGTGGCCAAAGGGGACAGTTTTCATACTGTGTTAGGAGCCATCTCAATAGTGCGCCATTAAAAGGAATAAATTCCATGTGGCAATTGGTATTGGATTAATAGTGCTGATTAAAACCATTCTTGATTCACTTGTCCAGTTTTACTGCTGTGAGTTTGATTCAACAGGAGAATCTGATCAGATTTCCAGTTCTTTATGTTTTCTGAGTTAGAGCACGAAAGTGCTGATGCCAAAACTTTCTTGCTTTGTTGAAATTCAGAAGCCAACATTCTAGTGCTGTAGTTGATGAAATTATGGATGTTTATAATATGTTGTATAATTTGTCACCACTATCAATATGAAGCTGTGAAGCTCCAGCCTACAATAAAGCTGCGAGTCTCAAAGCTTTGATTATAAATAGCTTTGAATTAAGTTGCTCTGGCAGTATGTGCTGAATTAATTGAAAACATTGCTTTGTGAAAGCACTAGTGCCTGACTTCTGAAACTCTCCCAATTTTTTTTATATCCATATGTTCCTGTTCACTAGTCTTTACAAACCAGTTGTAATGCTGTATCTTAGATTATTTTAGATTCTGAGCTTACTTTTGAAAATGGGGAAAATAAAAATTTTTTGGTGAAATACAAATCTTGCATTGATTCCATGAACCTACCAAGATTTGAAGATTCCACAGCAGTTTTGTTAGATACCATATAAAAGACTTAATCAGCTGTTTTTCTCTCAAAATATGAATTCTTTACTGAAGAGGCTATTTGAATATAGCACCACTTCAGTGTTTGCTGTTTTATTGTTTGTCTGTGATTTGTTTTATGCTAATAATATTTAGCCAGTCCAGCAGACAAAAATGAAAAGCTCTTTTCTACAAGAGGCCTAGGAAAACATTTTAATGACAGGGATTTAGAATCCCAGCCTTCTCCAGTGTATTACATGCAGGAAGCATCCCAAAGTATATTTTGAATTATTGCCAAGATAGGCTAGTGATTAGGGACTTCGAAATAATTTTCGAGATTTAATCTTAATAGGAATACTAAATCCCTTAGAATGTTCTTCTATGAGAGTTTATTTGCATTTTGTAACAAAAAATAATGTTTATTCATGGATAGCTTTATGAAACAATATAAATACCAAAGAAAAGACTAGTGTACAGAAGGTCCTTCAACAAAATAGAGCAATATAAGCAATACAACAAAAAAATATATTTATCTGATTTGTATCAGCAGGCTTTATTTCATTTTAATATGCTTTTTTGTAAGATTGTTCTGTTGGTTAACAGGATACTTCACTGAGATTACAGCTGCAGTCAGCATCTAGAGACTTTTCTGGAACTGGGGCCTAWCACCACATGGCCTTCTTTCAGTGTTTAGTCTTCTGATCATGGAATCAATCCTAAAAGCATCTTAGTAGTTCTGTAGAGATGCCTTAAGGAAGTTTGATTTGGCTTATTTATTTAAGTTTCTTGAAGACTGTGCTCTACTAATGTGGTGATGCATTTKCAATGTACTTCAAAAATCAGTCACCAAATGCTTGGATTAACAAAAATGGAAAGAAAAAAATACCACCAGCATTTGGTGGTTTTACAGCATTAATGCTTTTTTATCTAAATAAAATGTGTTACAAAGAACTTTGTTTTGCTAGACTGCATAATATTAGCAAAAGATAAAAATAAATGGGTTTTGTCAATTTACGAAGTGTCTACAAGTGTCAGTTTATCTTTTATTTTCTACTTGAATGTGGCAATAGTAACATCCTCAGGTGTTACAGAAAGTTTGTTAGGAATTAGGTACCTTCTGACCTTCTGTATATGGGTGGGATCGATGGTCTAGTAAGTAATCCTGTTGACCAACATAAAAGTAGCTGAAAATTTTGTCATTAGTTTTAATAAGCTTGGTTTGGCAATAAACRTTAGTGAGACTTTCTGAAACCTTGACTGTTACTTTTCAGTTTGGGAACATTGTGTCTAACGCTCCAATAAAACGTCGCAAAGTTATTTCTCAAGAAATGGTAACTGAGGCTGTACCTCTGAATTACCAAACTTCCTGTGAAAGTGTCATTCTGAACTGCCGAAGTATACGAATAGGAACACTGAGAAGAATGGTAGTGGAACCTGTGATTGTAAGTAAATTTGTTACTTCACAGCTCTCCTCTCAGGTTTCGAGGGACATTGTTATTTTCATATTTCAACAGTGTGGTGTTTTGCCTTTGTCTGGGGAACAGTTTGTCTCTAAATTCAGAGGCCATGAACTGTTTGTCTCTAAATTCAGAGGCCATGAACTGTTTGTCTCTAAATTCGGAGGCCATGATTTCCTAAGAACCTCAAATTACTGCTGCATTCTAAGATGTGCAGTCTGGCTCTGGTAATAGAAATATTGTGCTGCAGCACTCTTGAAAAACTCGTTTACATGTTTGAGGGGAGGTTACAGGTTAGCTTTCATTTGGTAATAAAATTGAAAACAACAGCTACAGAAAAGTTGATAGGTGGGAGGAAGACGCATTGTYCTAGAGACTAATAATTTACTTCTACAGATTTTTTTTTTTTGTTAGCCTTTTAAGTTAACATGGAGGTTTTTAAGGAGACGTTGAATGTTAGTTGCATGCAGTCAGCCACATGAAATGCATACTTCTTGCTGGGGTAACCACAGAAACAGCAGGGAGGTGTTATTTGTTTTTTCCACCTCTCTRCACAACACTATTGTTTGATTTGTCTAAATGCTGATAGATTAATCTTCTTTTGAAGAAATAGAAGATGTGTATTTTTAAGAGTATTGTAAATGTTTTTGAAAACTGAGTGCTTCAGAGAGATCTGAAGTTTAAGCAGTCARTATGACTGAAAGAGACACTAAAGAATGTGCTTACTTCCTTGAGTTGTGCTAAAATGTACGTTTTGGTTTTTTAAAACGTGCATTTTAAATATTAGTATTAAAATGTTTTTTACTTCAGTACTTAGTCAATTGAAGTGTGTTTGCTAACAGTTTAAAGGCTTTCAGGCATTTTTGGTTTGCAGAAGATGTGAAATCTTAAAATTGTGTTGTCTTTCAGTTTTGCCTGGATTATATCAAAATACGYCTAGAGAGTCAAGAAGGTGGGTACATTTTTCATTTTATGTTAGTACTCAATATATTTATTTTGAGTGAAGTAAATCTGTCAAAGGTATTAACGAGTGTATTGTAATTAAATGTTTATTCTCATTTTGTCATTTATGTAATAAATTACACTTGGTGCCTGTAGTCAGTTAAGAGAAAAAAAATACGGAGTACAAATTTGACCTGAACTGCCTGGTGAATAAAAACCAAAATGTTTTTGCATTATCTCTGCCTTCTAGTGACAGAAAATTCACAATTTGTGATGTGTGTACAACTGGGTTATTAGTTCCTCTGCTTCCTCTGATCATTCATTTGATGATCTGTAGCTAATGTGGTGATGATTGACTAAGGTTTTCTTGAAAGTGATTAACAAAAATAAGAAGCAAGTGACCCTCCTGTAACATGTTAACTTTTAAAACTTTTTTATTTCTTGTATGTTAGTTGGGTTAAGCAGACAGTAAAAACCACAGTGGTGTCTTAAACCTTTCCTGTCTAGATCTCCCTTTATAATTTTTTCTCTATTTGAAAGTTGTATATTTCATGTCACTGAAAGAAATACAGTGACCTAACTTGGAAATGGTGAGTTACAGCTCCTGCTCTGTTTCCTTTCTTTTCTTTTGTAGGGTTTTATCCTGGGCCTGAAAAGCTTTGTTACCTTTTGTTAATCTTAAGAGTAACTGTCTTTTAAGATATAAACATCTATCACTTCTTGCATATGCATTAATTTCCAAGTTTCAAAAACTTAAAAGAAATTTAGTGAGGACATTCTAATTCCTTGTTAGAATCAGGGGGGATATTGTAAAGGAAACTTACAGATTTTTATTAAAATTTAATGTCATTATTTTCTCATAGAATCAGAAAGTGATGTCAGAGAGATCAACCTGAAAACTTCAGAGCTTACTAAATGTGAATGGTGTAGTGTCCGCAAATTGCCAGTTGTTTTCCTTCAAACAATACCTTCAACCTGTAGTAGTCTGAGAGAACAACTGAAAATGAGTAAAGATAATGTCTGGTATGAATGTAAAGGAGAGAGTAAGTAAAACAATTTGTCTACTATTCACTTTTAAATAGTATTTTCTTGTTTTGGGTCATGARTGGGTACTAAAAGGGTCATTATTAGGTGGGGTAGGTGTAGCGCTTYTTCAGATGCTGTCATCTTCCCAGGCTGAGAAAGAGTATAGTTCAGAACAGTTGGCCATTYTCATTGTCCAGACACATGCTAGTTGCAACACTTAGTCAATTTAGTGTAACTTTTTTCACTAATATTTGTGCTCAATGAAAGCAAGTTGGTTTGTTTAGCTTTTGCATATGAGCCTTTACACTTATATGGCAGCTTTTGTAATACTGCTTTCTGTGCTGTTCTGCTGATAGGCTTTAGTTTTGGTAGAAACTGTTGTATAGGTTGCCTTGGGGTTTTTTTCCCCAGCATACTGGTAATGATGTTGTGATATAGGCAAATTGCTTGGAGAATACGTAGATTATCTTAATGTATATTAAAATCTAATTTAATTTCTAGACAGATGTGRAGGTCGTAGCATCTTAATATACACACCTGTTAAATGTAGCACAGAGTCCTCTTCCTCTTAAACAGGCTTTTCTTCAGGTTACATTTTGTGGTTATTTATACTTAGAGACAGTTTTGTACATACATGACTGCATTCAAAGGGAGGAAGAATGCTTTTGACAATCTCAGAATTGAGTGCTTTCGTAATACTGTGGTCGCATCCACCTCCTATAAGATATATGAGCTGTAAGGAGTCTAAAAATTACAAAAGTAGTTGGAGAACATCCAGGGGACCTGAACTCAATTCTGGGAGTAGGAATGAGACTCCAGTTGAACACAGGTGTTCACAAAGAAGGAAGCTTCTCAAATTGTCTGTGTGAGAAGTCCCTCCCTTGGCAGGGGACCCTGGTCTCTTGCAGACTCTCCCTGGTCTCTTGCCAGTGTCTCTGCCCAGCTCTTCTCCCTCAGGCTGTGGCAGTGAAGGAGTCTTACATGCAACTTTACTGCACTTCGTGATAACACAGGTGCTCTTTGCTTTGTAAGTAATGATATTAATTGAAGCCTGTGTCTGTGGCTATGCAAGCAGTTACGTGTAGATGCCTAGCTTCCCAAATAGGAACATCCAAAACCCGGTTAGACATCTAAATTCTGTGTGCAGCGAATTGGGAATTATGCTACTGAAGAATAATTTTTCACAAGAGTTAGTATSCTGGATTCTGCTTGTGTCTGAAGCTCCTCTTACAGAAAAGCAGATCCGGGCAGCTACATGAGGTTAGGATTTGCAGCCTGAATCCTGTTCCTTTTTGTGACCATGTAAAATAATTCCTCTCAGTGCAATTTTGATTTTTCAGACCATATAAGTGGATGATATTTATATAATAGCTGATTGATCTGACTCATTCTCTCCAACTTATTCAAAACCAGGGATGTTTTATAGTGTAACCTTCGAGGATGAGAGAGGAAATTGTGCTGAATATACAGTTTTTGGAATTGTAATGAAACAGTAGGATAGGAACTGCAGTAAGAAAACAAGAAAGTGTTGGTTACAGAATCTTATTCTCAGTAAGCAAAGAAGATGTTATTTTGAAATGTTTTGACTTTGCATTAGTGTCATTTAAAAATTTATCAGGTGTAATATTTAACATTTGTAGATTAAGGTAGAAGCTGAATGCCTTCTTTTTGYAAATGTAGTTAAGAAAGGTTTGGCAGTTAGTTCTTCTGTCTGCTCACATCAGTATTACTGCGTTCATACATTATCAGCAGTGCGTGCTCGTGTTGGCCAACAAATTATTCCTAAACTAATAATGTTTTTTTCTGGGTTTTTTGCAGGTCAGGAAGAACAGTACATAATTTTGATTTTTGAAACTGGTCTTGATCCTCATGCAAATTCAATATTTGAAAAAATAATTATGGACATTGGTATTAGAAATAATATTTCTGACTTCTTTGTGAAAATTTCCTTTGAAGAAGCCAATGCCAGGCTTGTTGCATTTACTAAGTGCTTGGAAGAAAATTCCAAAGGAAGCCCATGTCACAGAGAAAGCAAAATAAAAAATGTAATTATGGGGTTTTTGTAGAACGAAGTCATTATATTATGTGGGTTACAGCTATACTAAGGGTAGTGGGTTAGTCAGCCAGAAAAAATGCCATCAACTTTTGCTGGCTTTTATTTGAGAATTCCCAGACTGGTCTATGGTGGATTATGAAACTGTGGGAAATAGTCTGTACATTCACAGTACTTCTTAGGGTGTTTGTTTGGTTGTAAGGTTATACAGTGATCCACAACTAMTGTTGTTATTTAAAAATTATTAAGGGATGAAAAATCTTTACTGTAATCAGACAACATATTTTTTTCCAAATTCATGTACTGGTAAAATTATAATATTTCAAACAGGAAATTAAGTTGCAGTGTTGTAGTTACATTTAATTAAGTTGCAGTGTTGTAGTTACATTTAATTAATGTTTTCATTGAACAAACTACTTTTAAAAGAATTAGAAAGGTTTGTCACTGCAAGAAATTAGCAGATACCTAAGTGTAATAGATGAGGTAGGAAATTTAAAAAAAAACTAAAAACTGGAAGTCCTCAGAAAAACCTAGATGGTACACTGCTGGACTTCATAAATTTTTATTACCATTTTAGTAAAATTGAGCACAGTATGAAAATTAATATTGATTCTATTCTTTTAAGGTTGTTTCTGAGTCCAAAGTGCAGCAGCGAAATAAACAGTTGCCATTTTTTGATGATGATGAAGAAATTGGCGAACCCCATACAGTATTTATTGGTCCTATAGAAAAGTAAGATTTTTATCTTTACCCTCTTTACCYTTAAAAATGTCTGAAGGGCTTTTGGCATTTCATATTTCTTACTGAATGTATTTCTCTTCTCAGGTTGATAGTTTATCCACCTTCTCCAGCTAAAGGTGGTATTTCTGTGACCAACGAAGACCTCCATTGTCTAAATGAAGGAGAATTTTTAAATGATGTTATTATTGATTTTTATTTAAAGTAAGTTGTATTTTACATTAGTTTTTAGTTGTCTTTTACTTTGAAACTTGAAAAGTTCTGACATAAAAAATTCATAGGTCAGTTGATAACACTTGGTCTCCAGCTCTGTATAGCTGTAATTTTAGAGGTTGTTTTGTAATCTTGCAAGAAATTTTGGTTCTTCTYCTGTCCTGCTTGACAGTGACATTGTTCTCACTTGGATAAAGGTTCTTTGCAGTTTTTTAACATCTCAAGAGCAAGTTTAACTGGAAAAAGAGGCTCTTTTTAAGTTCAGTTGTTYTTTCCAGAGTATTTGTGTTTCCTGGAATTTCATTTGTTTTGATTAACATAATACATAATTTAATTTTGTGGTGTCACTGATGCTACAAGTGTTAGAAGTGTATTACACTTTWACATGCTGCTGGTTTTATGCTACACATAAGGTGTGTATGTATATTTTTCAGTTGATTAACGTATTTTAGAAGTAAAAAGAAGGTGAGTCTGTCACTCTTGGGGCTGTTTGGAAATCTGGTGTCTCAAATACAAAATACAGGTCTCCTAGGTAGGTCTTCATGTAACAAAGCTTGTTTTCCTGCCATGAAATAAAAATAAATACAACAGCAGCCRAATATTTGTTGATTGAGCAGAGCAATAATACCTTGAAATATTTACACAAATTTTGCATTAATTAGTTCCTGTGCATTAGTCCGCTCCAAATAGCTATAATGTGAGAAGCTGCTACAATTTGGTGGGGAGCAGCTATTAGCACTCATTTCTACTCTGGTGTTCAGTATTTGAGTTAAAACCTCTGTTAATTTTTCTTTCTTTTTTTTTTTCCTTTTTTTTTGACTAATTAGGTATTTGGTACTTGAAAAGCTGAAAAAAGAAGATGCTGATAGAATACATGTGTTCAGTTCATTTTTCTATAAACGCCTTAATCAAAGAGAAAGAAGAAATATTCATGAAACTTCAAACCTTTCGTAAGTCTGTTGATAAGTCAGTTTTACATAGAGCTAAATGCAGTAAAGACTCTTAAGAACAGGTGCTTTACAGATAGAAATATCGGGAGAAATCTAGGARACATCCAGACCTGTAGCAAACATAGCATATGCCCTGAAAACCTTAAAAGCTGTTAAGGTGAAAATATYTGGGAAAGTGCTCCCTCAAATAAAATAAGCCACCCTACAATATTGTRTGTTGGTTTCTTCTTGCAGAATACAGCAGAAGCGACATGGGCGAGTAAAAACATGGACGCGGCATGTTGACATTTTTGAGAAAGATTTCATTTTTGTTCCTCTTAATGAAGCGTAAGTGAACATACCTTTTCATCACATTTGGTAAAGGCTTAAGCTTTGTAATTCTAAAATTGAAAGTTGCGTTACAATGTGAATTGAAGTTAAAAATTAAGAGAAATAAAATAAAAATTAAATRGTTATATAAGACTTTTAAATGTTTTAGTATAAAAATTATCAGACAGTATAAAACTGAGCAAAAATTAACTTCTCTGAATACTTTTTTTAGGTTTTACCTCAATCTCTAGCATTCTTTTTCTAAGCTTTTGACCTTGATAACTTTTGAATTCACCTATCTACCTTTTTCAGGCCTTTCTGGTATAGATCTCTCTAGTATAGATGGGATCATCTTCAGTTACAATAAACTGATGTTGAAAGAAAACTTAATTGAAAATCACTAGTGAGACCTTTATTCTTTTTCTTTATGTCCTTTTGTCCTGTTACATAGTTCACTTCCCATGATCCTCTCACRTCATTCACATATCCACGTGGGTTATGCATAGGAGAAGTGAGATTATGGAGAGAAGAAATGAGTGTGATTTAGAAGTCACCTGAAAATGAAAACAAATAGTTCTGTAGTTTTATAAGAATTACTTTTGTTGCCAGTAACTTAACATGCAGTAGTTTTCACTGTCTTGTTCATTTACTGATAAGGAAATAAAGCAATGTCTGTTGCAGCAAGCAGAGCATAATAGTTTGTACTAAAGGCATAATGTTCACACCATGTGTGTGTGGAGATTTWGGGTTAGACTAGTTTGGTCTCATGGACTCATCCACTTGCAATTAGAGCATGAAAAGTGTACTCCTGATGTGCATCTGTTATCTGGATATAWTCCTGTTCCCCATTTTTGGAAATGTCCCTTCACCATAAGGTGAAGCTTGTTAAGCATTGATGTAGGGCATTCATTTGCAACAGTGGTTTCCTGGTAGGTACAGTAAGAATATTGCAGATCAGAAAAATAACCAAGTAGCGAGGGAGATGAGAAAGTGGTGGTTTCATGGGGAGTTGCTCAGTTTTGGTGTCTATTTCCAACAAGTTTTTCCAGAATATCTCATAACCTCTAGTTTAAGGAATGCGGGCATGTTGACTCTAGGGCAGAATCAACTTCAGAACACTATGTCTGATTTAACCATGACTACATCAGTGTTCTTTGGCTGTGCAATCCTTCTTGTTCTAGTCTCCAATAAAAACAGGTTGTTCACTTAAAAGTTACAAGCTGTTTTGTTCTAACATGCAGTTAATTTGCTAGTCTGTTGACATAATTGATACATAAAGTCTCTATTGAGTACACACAAATTCCAGGGTTGGGCAGTGCTTAATATGTTCATTCATTAAGTGTGGTGAATCATTCAAGACAAACCATATCTCATGCTGCTTTCGGTGACCACTTACTTTAAGTGCTATTAAGTTTTGATGGAGTTTAGRCTTCATAACCATCTAATCAGTTTTTTAGTGTGTCAGTTTTTATCTACTGCTTTTTCTTTTGTTTCCTAAAACACRCTGAAATATGACTTCACCTCTATAATATGTAGCTAGCTTCTGTTTTRTTATTTGGTGTAGGCAGAGATCCTTCAGAAAAACTCTAAATCGGACAGTTGAAATCCACTTGTAATGCCTCAGTCCCTGAATTTGCTGCTGCTCTAGTTCTGATTGAGTGGCAGGTCAGTGAAGCTTAAAGAGGCAAGGAAATAGGAGAAAACTGTTGCAAAACTTTCTTTGTGTTGGGGGATATGTTTTTGAAAAAGTTAGAATGTCAATCCTGTGAAGGGTGAGGAAGACAACAGAGCTATTGTGATGGCATTACAAGCACTCTTTTTTCTCTTTCTTTAACTCACTGTTCCGAAGATTTCTTGAAAAATGTGAGGTGTTAAAGACAATTGGGAATCTCGTAGGTGGRAGAATATGGGTAATGCAGCCATACYATTASATCTGMCTACTTGYGGTGTAGTGTTGAACTGCTAGAAAATGTCTAACAGCTGTAAAACATGAACTGTACAATCTCTRAAYCATGCATTAATGAAGAAAATGCTAAAAAAGAATTAAGCTTAAATTCAGAGAGTGTAAAAATTATATAAAGTGTGAGCAAATTGAAAAGCCTGTTTACAACTAACTACATGATATTAATTAATTTGTTGGTGATTATTTGCTTGGAGAAATTGTACTTTTACARAAGGCTATGAAGACTTGAGTATAACCTGGTCAGATAAGTGAATTGCTGGTATCATTTATCTTATAATAATTACGAGCACAGAATTTTTTTGTGTATATGTGCATGGACATGCAGTGGTTTGTTTACCAATTTCAGGTCTAACTGTGAGCATTAATGTAATTGCAGGGTTTTAATGTATTTTTTCCTTTGCAGTGCCCACTGGTTTTTGGCTGTTATCTGCTTTCCTGGTTTAGAAAAACCRAAATATGAACCAAATCCCCATTATCATGAAAATGCTACAATGCCGATGAAATCTTCCTCTTCAGATGGAGAGAGCAGCACACCATCTCCTTTGCCAAATGAATTAGATGCACAAAACTCGCCTTCCAAGTCCACAGCAAAGAAGACGTTTACCAAAAAGTACAGTACAGCTTTAATTGACCCAAACACTGAAACAGAGGACAGTGAATCTTCGTGTTGTAGAAGAAGTCCTTGTAGGGYAAAAAGTGCTTTCAAAAAACTGAATCAAACAGACAGTGATGTGGAAGAACCTAACACTGTGGAATCAGCAKGCCATAAATTAGACCATAGAACTCTGGATGAAAATGGTATACAGGGTGAATTCACAGCTGCTAGCCAATCTATGGGTATGTAATTGTAAAACTGTGCACGTTTTAATGAAACATTTGGAGATTTCACTGCTTCTGCAATGGTGTAAAGTTCATACTTTGAAAGTTTGGTATATGCCTGAACTTCAAGTTCTTGCAATGTAAGTCATAGCCRTTGCATTTGAAAAGCTTTTGTGGCTTTTGACATAACTCTCATGGCAAAGGGCTGGAGATAAAACACTGTTTTCCTAAATCAGATTAATTTTTCAATTTTGTGACCCTTTTTCATACAAAATCATTTTGTGGATATCACTTTGCATCCCTCAACAATGCTATTGTTAAGGAAAGAATGGKAGTTGACCATGGAACCTTAAAATGCTTTTTTAGGGGAAAACTGACCTAAGATTATGTGAGCAACCTTAATATCAGTGTCTTTTATCATTTGAGGTTTTACTTCAACACTATTAATTTCTTTATTGTCGTGATGAGAAGGTATGTAAAAAGAGTAAGAAGAAAACAGTTCAAAAGAAAAAAAAAAATTTCCTCCGTGACCGCTGTGTTATATTGAGAGAGGCTTTCTCAGTGCATCACTGGCTGTGGGTACTGAGTTCACCGATCTGCAACAGTGTTTGTACCCAAGTGAACAAAGGAGTTGGCACACTTTTAAAGGCAGGTGAAGGAATAAGGAAAAGGTTGTTTTCTCTGTTCACTGCAACGTTTGAATCTCCTTMAGGTATAGACTAGGAAACATCTGATTATGCAAAAGCTTTTACTTTAGTCACCAGTAATATTCCTACTGACTTAATTTACACGGTAAGGGATTRTATACCTTATAGTACAAGTTCTGAAAATGTTACCGATCATATKGTTTAATCTGTATGCTGGAGGCTGTTACGACTTTAATGTCTTAGTGGGTATAAGCACTGCTGATTTTTAACTTAAATTTATTCATTTGTGACAACCTTATTATGTTACCTTAACTGCTATCTAACTGCTCCTAGAAGGCCTTGGAGGGGTGCTGGGGATGCGTGTCGATGTGTTCTTGTTTGAGTCAATCTTTTATTTTATGTGTGATTGTTACTGTTTGTGATATTGCTGCTGTGTGATGTGGTCTCATGTCTTGGATGCTCCTACTGTTGCTTGTCTGTAACTAGTTGGAGTGTGTTTTATGACAGATTTTTCTAGGGTTACGTTTCTTGTGGGTTTTTTATGGCTGCATTGTATTGGTGGCTGATGGTCATTCTCTAACTTAAATGCTCAGACTTTCTTGCTCAACTGTTACAGATGATGCACCCTTTCATTAAAGTGGATGTTCTCAGGTGGCACAGTCCTGATTTAAGGGTGAGATTGACCCTAAGGGTATGTTTAGGCAGCCAAACTTASGTGCACTGTGTATTTAAACTTCCATTTCAATCAGATGGGAGATGGGCATTCTCCCTGGGTTATCTGACCAGCCTTCAGCTGCTCCGGAAGGGTGTGGATCTTGACTGTAATCAAGATGCCAAATCCTTACATAAATCCTGGATATCCAAGGATATCTCGAAAGACAGCAGGTGTCTCTGACAGTGTAGTCAATTAAGCCAAGAAAATTCCTCTTCACATCCTAAAGCAAATGCAGAGTAACTGTTCAGTTGAGCAGCTCTGTGCTCTGATTTTGTTTTCCTGACACTGAGACCCTGGATGCTAGCTGTACATGGAGCCTAGCTGAGATGTTTTGATCTCAAATCATGGTATCGAACTTGGGAATCAGTAGAAGTTCATACCTAAATAACTTGGAAGAAATGATCCAAAATAGATCTCTTTTTTTTTTTTTTTTTTTTTTTTTTTTTTTTTTTTTTTTTTTTTTTTTTTTTTTTTTTTTTTTTTTTTTTTTTTTTTTTTTTTTTTTTTNTTGCTCAGTTTTTGAGCAAGATATGATTTTGTCTCAATACCAGTTTTTATTTTTTGGAAATCAGTCAGCAGTAAGTCACATTAGTGTATGACCTATTTCTTATGCTAAGGTCTTTTCAAAGATACCAATTCCCAAGTTYGCTCCTGTGGAACTTCAGTAGTGACCTCTTTCCAAAGTGTTACCTCAACTTCTCTTTTGAAATATTCTCAAATGCAGATGTTCTCCTTTTTCTTCCCTCTGGCTYGTTCACTGCCCTATTTACTGTTCTTATAGACATTTTAGTTTCCTTTAATAGATAATATGTCCTCCAGTGACATCATAACCAATGCTTTCATTTTTGTCATTGTTTAGATATATTACTTAGCCCTTTTCTAGGAAGATTTCAGGTTTTGCTTGGATAAATTATTAATTTTTCATTTATTTCCACAATTTACTATTTTCCCTCAAAATCTGTTCTGAAGTTCTGTGCCGTAGTAATAAGGCTAGTGAGTCTGTAGCTTTCTGTATCTTCTCCTTGTGCAGGTATAGCTAGAACAGTCTTTTTTTTTTTTTTTCTTCTGATGCTATTTCCCACTAAATATGTGACTAAATATGTAGAGGTGGATAGGAGTGAATTTACAGATAATCTTTTCATGTCACAAACTGTGAAATATTTCTAAGCTGCTACCCCCAGGAGARCTGATCCTTCGTTCTGCCCTCCCTACCAGCGTTTTCCCAAGCTGCATTTTCCCTTTTACCAGCATAAGTCTTCRTATGACTGCACAGTGAACTGATAGAGGAAGTTATTCAGTTAAAAWATTTTAAACTTGTGACTACCTTATTCAGTCTGGTCACTGTGCGTGGATGTATTTAATATTATAAAAGGAACCAGCTAGGGGTAGAAGTAGATAGTTATTTTAGGGAGCATATTTGGTAGCAGTACCAATTTAGACTGTTCTRAAGGCTTCATGGGACTGTGGGGCAATTTCATAGTGGGTTTTAGTGTAGGCCTCTCAATTTTTTTTTAGCCATTTGACACAATAAGGAATAGTTTCTGTTGTGCTACTTAGAAGCTTTTCACTTCTGTTCATATGCATGAGTAAATCACTATATGTTAGCTGTATCATAGTTACCATGAGCAATCCTGGGAAAATCTGAGTTACTTAAAATGAGTTTGGTCTTCACTGATGACAGTATTTGATGTTTAAATATCCCACTGTCTGTGATTGATACAGATGGATTGCACAAAATCAGACTTAACTATAGTGAAGACTCAGCTGATGGCAGTAAACTAAATGAAGATGAGCTTATAGATTTTTCTGAAGACCAAGATAACCAGGTAAAGAATTTAGCAATTTTATTTAGGAAATATGAACTGTTGTCTTATGTTTTGAATGGTCAGCTTAAAAGCGGTGTACACATTGTGAATCTGCATTGTCTAAAGCTACTTACCTTTACAAGTGTCAAATCCAAATCACTGGTTACCTATAAAAATCTGCACGTTAGCTGACAGAGAGGATTAAACATTTGCTCATTTAACTGTTTAATAGAAAKCTACTGTGCTGATCCTGCATTTAGTTTTGTGAGTCTTTTGCGTAATGGCAGTGTTACAAGTGATTTTAGTGGGAACAGTGAAAGTCAGTACATTTCTATCTTTTGTCTCCCCCATTCCATGTTTATCTACTAAAYCCAAAAACAAGTTACTCTCCTTTCAGCTACATTGCATGGGCATAACCAGACACATTTATAAGTATGTGCTACTCAATTGTTTTGTTTCATTGGTGCTTCTCCTAATCAAATTCGCACAGCATGGATTTAGAATCAAGTAACATTTTTGCTCATACTGGAAAACATTTAGATTTTAAAGCTGTGGAAAGACTGAATGTTAAAATGTCYCTTTCTGACTCAGTGCTGGGTATGAGGGTATTCCACAGCTCTGTCACTTCTACAATGTAAGTTCAGTGCAAATAGGCCAGAAGTTRCGCCTTCCTATTCATGTTCCAGGTGTATGACCTTTCCTGGACCTCTGAATCCAGAACAAACTATTATTTTTCAGTCKGCAGCTATCTGTAATGACTTATAAATATCTATGTGTACACAGATATAAAAACTCCAGTTGATGTTGAAACCTGACTGTATTTTTCAGCTGTACTTAGCCTAACTCTCCTGTCATGCCACCTGTGCAAATATTCTGAGTTTCGCCTGATGGAACTGCTTGTCTGTCCATTTTTAAGCTGTTAAGCATTTTCAGAAGATGGAGAATAAGCACCAGAGCATTTCCAATCTGAAATACATGGCATGAAGGCAGGGAAGTAAGCATATGGCCAGCTGCTTTCCTTGAGAGAAGGAGCAAATTCCAAGCTCCRTAGTTGCTGTGAAGCTTAGAACTTAACTCAGGCAGAAGCTGTCACTGTTATTTTCTAGAATGCACAAAGCAAGTGTACAAATGACAAATGACAAGCTGAGTGGATCAACCTTTGCRTCTGCTAAAAAAAGGAGTTGATGCTGCAATAAAAACAAGTGTGCAAGGAGCTAGGCAGTAGTTTCTAATATGATAACGTGTTCATGGCATAGCTTGAGGATTTCAGTACCAGTATCCTGTATTTTAATGAAGTGTAGATAATGCTCACAAAAATATTCACAAATCATGCTGGTACAGGGGTTCCCATTTTGGGAAAACACCTCTTTCCCCATAACATTTTGATTACATTGAATGATATTGAACTTAGTGGGAAGAGTAAGAAACTATGGGATTCTTTTAGATAAAACAACTTTTGTGCTTTTGTTTGTAAAACTTCCATATCCTTTRTAGCAATCAATATTGAAATCAAAAAGGCCAGAGGATATTTCCAGGCSTGTGGTATGACTGATTTTGCAATCCATGATCCTGTGTATCACAGTTGTTTAATTTTCCTTGCCCTGARAATCAAGCTGTAGCATTTTAGAGCAAAAATAGTTTTATTTCTGAGCTTGTTGCAGGTCTTGTTTCATTTCACCTTGAAGATAATRCATGAAACCACCAAGCAAGTTTCTACTATTCACTGGCAAGGAAAAGTATTGATAATTTGGATTATAACCAAATAATGGAGATTCACCTCTTCTAAGCCAGCAGTGTTTTCAAAATGTCAGTTGAAATTTGCTAGTTTCAGCAGTCCTTAAATAAATAGCAGCATTCAATCCATGTAATTCCAGCATGGATTTCAGAAACCATGTGACTAAAAGTTGATAAACTTAACAAACAGTGAATCACATCAGATTAAAGCTACCATTTCTTTATTAAACCTTACTATTCGTCTTGAATGAAAATGGTAAGTGTAACAATAATTTCCTTTGCATCTGTTTGAAAAAACAATACTAGTTTTTAAACACCTATAACCGCATTGCTTCTCTAGGACGACAGTAGTGATGATGGTGGCCTTGTAGATGATAACTGTAATTCAGAAATGGGACAATGGTACCTGAAGCCAACTATCTGCAAACAGTAAGTATTCAAAMAGTTAAAATGGAAATTTCATAGAAGTTCATGAAATGTAAAAGACAGTAGTTATAGGAAATAGTAATACGTGAATCTTCAAATAGCATTTGAGAGAGAATTTTATACTTCATATTATCATCTTTAGTGAGCAKAAAATTTATTGAATGAAACTGGCAGTGAAATAATAGCTTTTTGAGTTTCTGTTAAGCCTGCATGCTGCATCAGGCAAATGAAGATTGTTTCTTCCAATAAGACTGTTCTTCGGTATTTCGCACTTGGATTCCTACAAAAACAAGGTGCAGAAGCATGTTCAAATGTATCCTGTATTAAAAAGCACATTAATGTTTTTAAATTAAATAATTAATAGTAAAGAAAATGTTTATCACTACTCAAATTAGTAAAATGGGAGTAATTTTTAATTCCCCCCTTTTCTTATCTAAATGTGTTGTAGCTGTTCCTCTTTATTGTCTCTCTCTGTTCTTTTTTCTCTAATAAGAGTGTTCCACATTTTTTAGAAATCTTGTGTCTGTTCTGGATATGAAAACTCCTTTTAAAAATATTTGAGACCCAGAAATAATTTCTTAGTAGACATTGACTGCAATTTTTTGCATTATAGTATRACAGAGATGCCTGATTCGAAATCCAAAAATATTGTTACTAGTATTGCTGTGTTGACATTTTCCTTTCTGTTTTCTTCATAATTTATGTATATTTGTATTTCCTTCTTTGTGAATACAAGGTTTACTAGAAAGGTGGACTTTCACGGTATATTCTTAGGAGGCAGAATAGAATTGCAGGTTTATAGATGTTATGGAATACATGACAATACGTTTTCAAGGAAAAGTCCATCTGTGTTGCGTGTTTTAAGAATATTTGTGAGCTTCTGATTATAGCTTGGCTAAATTTGTCCGATTTTGATGACGGATTATCTGTGCATAATACTTTCCACCAGACAGTATTTTAATCCAGTGTGAAATTTTGTAGCATCTTTGACATTTAAAAGTCATTAAGGGCACTTAAATACTTTGCTAATATTAGCATATTTTAAAATTACTTCTATATTAGATAGAAAATTACCTTGAAAAGGCTGTCACTTCTTCCTTCTCCAAAGTACATTTTTTTCAAAGAGCATTTTAGAGAGCTTTCTTTTTAATACATTTTTAAAGAGCAGTACCTATATTAATATTAATTTTAATCAGAAATTAAAACAAGTACGAGCAAACATTATTCAAGTGTTTGTATTCTTATGCCTGAAAAATTGCATACATGTAAATTAATTTATAAATGCAAACAGACCCATACATAAATACATTCAGATAYTTTGTCTGAATTTACTGGTTTGAAGTCTCTTCGAATGGTACTTTGTCTGAATGTGTATGTGTTATTGTTAGAAAAGAAAAAAGCAGACATTTGTGAAAAGTAATTGCATTTATTTATCCCTCAAAATACATATTACATATAATGCTGAAATTTTGAATTCTGGTCTGAGTTAGCTTTGATGTATAAATCCAACTGGCATATAWGGTGGTTGATAAGATTGCTGTTCTTGTGGCTATTGAAAAAGTAGTGTGCTTTGGATCAAGTGATACCGGCATCTATAGTATGCAGGAGAGGACTTGAACARACTTGGTTCTCTAGAAAATATTTGGTTATGGATACATTAATTTTTAAAGTCTTTTAAATAGATTTGGTGGGTGTTTTGTGTATAACTTCCACCTAGATTGCAGATTGAGGCTGGGATCATGCTTTCCTAATGTCTTCCAATGTGCTGTAGAGTGYCCCATCTGTCCTTGAGCTGCTACTCCTAGCAGGATCTGTGTGGACTTCGTGCTTTACTTTTTCTTGCCAGATACTGTGTATGCCTGAAAGRGCATTAGATTAGACACCTGAAGGTGTTTTAAGTGACTAGTTTTTGCCTGTGACAAATTATTTCAGTCTGACAGTAGTGTATTTTCTAAGTGCATTCTGAAGTGTATTAARTAGATGGTTAAATATAAAGTTAATTTACCGTTTAGCTATCCCAATTAGGAGGTTACAGCAGTGCTGGCAGAACTTTAGAGTATTTATCTAGTTTTGTTAAGGTCACGCCACAAACTATTTCTGTGTAATATTGTGTTTTTCAAGCTGCTGTAAAATACTGTGTAAAACTTGTGTTTTTTTCTGTTAGGCCCTGCATTTTGCTTATGGACTCACTGAGAGGCCCTTCCCGGTCAAATGTTGTGAAAACACTACGGGAGTAAGTTTCGTTCCATATCTGGTACTTGGGGTTTTTTTTTTGTTTGGTTTGGGGCTTTTTTCAGAATTCTTCCAGGAATACAAAAAGATTTTAAATTGCATGGTCTTTTATTGTAGATACTTAGAGGTGGAATGGGAAGTCAGGAAAGGCAGCAAAAGAAGCTTTTCCAAAGAGGTCATGAAAGGTTCCAATCCAAAAGTGCCACAGCAAAACAACTTCAGTGATTGTGGAGTGTACATCCTGCAGTATGTGGAGAGCTTTTTTGAGGTATGTATRTTTGTGAAGCTATTTTTGATTCCTGCAGCAATCAAATATAAGCTGTGAAAATGACTAAAATTATAAAAGGCTCCTAGTGTAGCTTAATACCTATTTATGAGATTATGCATTATAAAYTAATTTTTACATAAACACAGACAGTAACTTTTTGGAAAATAAACTTACTATCCTTTTTAGCTGTATGTACATAAAAGAAATTGTAAGACATGAAATTATCTGAGTGAATGTAAAGAAAACAAATTTAGAGTCATTTGTGTTCTTCTGCTGTGTACCCTTTAAAATCATTCAATAAGAACTTGAGTTCAAAATCTAAACTAGAAATGCAGTACAAGAAGCTTGTTCTTTTTCCCCTTAGAACTGTGAATGAATAAATTCAGAAATATGACACAGGTAGGGGGATTTCTGTTTCTTCTGTGGGTATTTTTAACTTGTAAGAAAACATGTAAGTGAAATCATTACAGCTAAATGCCAAATCTTGTTTCCGGTGAAGGAATTGTTTGAACACTTACTTCAGCTGACTGGGTCTTCAAGTTACAGCTCCTTTCACAAGTGGAGGCATTAGCACCTTCTGGGCTAGGTCGGGAGGAGAAATGATGGTTAAGTGAGATGCTGCCTGCATGAGACAGTAACTCTCTTTAGAATCCATGGTGCTTTTGTGTGTTGTTCCTAAACTCTCCTGTAGCTGACCCTTTCCTGGAAAAATGGCAGCTTCTTCATTTCTCAACCACTTCTCCATTCATACTTTAGCAAGCAAGGCTTTAGCACACTACAGTCATGTAAACAGTAGGCAAAAGCTTTTGCTTTACCTATTAGTTCTTGAGAGCTTAGAACCATAACCAAGTGCTTCCTGTCACTGGGGTTACGAGGAACAACCAGGTTTTATTAATCTTAGCCCATTCCTTTTTGTGAATTGATTGCTCAGTTAGGTCATGCTGAATCCCTCGTCCTGCCTAGTGTGGCAGTGTGCAGCAACTTTGTGTGCCAGGCAATAGGCACAAGCACATCCATGGGTCAGAGAGCAAATCACAGGGTGTTCTCAGAAGTGACTCCAGTGGGGAASGAAAACCTGTGCTGATTGCACAGTGCTAAACTGTGTTGAAGTTACTCAGTGAACAATTTTAGCTTCTTTGTGTTTGGAAAATTGCCCACAGTCTCATTTTTCACCATTTCTATAGGCTCGATGGGGAGTATGCAGGGGCAGGTGCTTAATCTGATGTTTGTGAACTGTTCGGGYACATCCTTTTCTTCTTTGTGAATTTATTTGAAGTACTAAGATCACGATGTGTATCTTTTGAACTGACTCGCTTGCCAGGGTGGGTAGAATAGTGAGGAGCACGCCGGCGGGCTGTCGCAGCAGGGATTTGTCAGCCGGGGCCGCCAGGGGCCACTGCGGTCGGGGCGGGCAGCGGGACTTGAGGGGTTCGGGGACAGCGCCAGCTCTGCTCAGCACCTGCAAGGCGAGGGGATGCGCTGGGGCAGCACAGCTGGCCTCTCACCATGTCTCTCGTCTTCCCCGAACTCAACAACGACAATGAAATGCTGCTAGTACAACATTAAAGGATGACATGCTCCTTGCGCAGAATGTCACTAATTTTTTTTGCGAGCAGCCTTGCAGATGAATGTAATTCACACTTAACACTAACGTTATAAACTGGAATGCACAAAAGGAGGAATTTTTTGAGAGAAAACAGTGTTCCCCTAATTGTCATTTGGCTAAGGTGGAATTGTACAGTATCACTGAAGAGGCATAGTTAATGTTTAATAATAATTTGGATGATTGATATCAAGCAAGAAAACAGAATGTAAGTGTAAGCATTGGTGGTAGGCAGGGGCTTTGTTTTCTAGAGTGAAATCTAAAACTGTCTTGCCTAGTTGGTCATTATCCCAAAACTTATTTTTTGGATAATTTTGGATTCTTTTGAGCTCTAGATTTTGATGTTACAGTTCTAAAAGTCCAAATCTTTTAGTAGTTTTCTCTGTCACTCACTTTTTTTTTTTTTTTTAATTAGAAGTTTTTGCACATTATGCCAACAAATGCTTAGTCTAAAAGATGCAGCAAACACAGTAGATTGTTCAGGCGTTCTTACAATCACAACTGTGATCTGGATGGATTTTACTCTCTAACATACTGAAGCTTGACTGATTTTACCATAATTGTACATGTACAAAACACAAAAATGGTAGGCATTTTGTTCCATGCTGATGGAATGAATGGAGGAAGAATGTACTTTTCCTCACGACAGTTTTCTTCAGTCATTTAGGTTATAACTCCTTATTTTAATATCCAAATGATCTTTCTTTTCAGAACCCCATTTTGAGTTTTGAGCTACCAATGAACTTAACAGACTGGTTTCCACGCCCAAGAATGAAAACCAAAAGAGAAGAAATAAGAAAAATAATCCTGATGCTCCAGGAACAGCAGAACAAGGACAAGAAGGGACAGAAAGACCCAAGTTCAATTTTGCAGGAAAAGACAGAACAACTTAACAACAACAGCTCAGACTGAATGTTGTATCTGTTGCATGTTAGCTCCACAATCAAAATGGAAACCTACATTTTTTGTCTGCCCAGATTAAAAATTTGGCGTGTTCTCTGCTCAGAGTTACTTGGGAATGTTTAATGCCTGTATAAATGTGTGTCATAAAATGGTTTAACTCCCACAAAGATGTGTATTAAGTGAGTCTGTACATATGTTAATGAGGCCAACTTTTTCAGCATTTGTAATTACTTTTTTCCACTTGATAGGGAGCTTTTGTTATGTATTTCTGTTAATAGAACTTAAATAGCAACTTTAAACATAAAGCAAATAAAGAAAATATAGGATGAAATGGTTACTTTTTTTCTTTTTCAGTAAAGTTTTAATGTTACAGGCTTAAGTAACACATAGGGAATGATTCGGTAGTGAGAGAATTCATATTTTGACCCTATTTAGTTGTCCTCTACAAGATTATTCTGCTTGCGCTACAAACAATAATATGGGTAAGTGTCTCAATGTACCATGGCCTCTGAGAGGGTGATTCCCATCCTCGCATTATCTTCAGTGTAGGCAGTGTCATAGTTCATAAGACCGCTTCAGATTTGGGGGTTTACAAGATTTGCATTGCAATTACAATTCCACCCGTGCTTTAGTGGGACAGGCTAGGGAAAGGGGGAGAGTGCTCTTTGACCAGAGGTAACTCTTCAAACAGTATTATAAAAGTGGTTTCAATGAAGTGATCTTGAGTGACTCTATTAAATCATATTTTGTGGATCCCAATTGTTGTACAGGTGTATTTTGAAACTTTCTTCATTATAAAATTGTATTTTGGTAAGTGTACTTGGAATAGCAGATTGCCCACATTACATTTTCTATGTTACAATTCTGAATGTTACATTCGTATGTGCTTTATCTAAGTAATGAACATTTAAAAAGAAAAAAGTGTATGATTACTATTTTTTCTAATATCCACGCAAAAAACCAAAATGCCAGTGTTCATTGCTTGCTTGTTTGTTTTTGGCTTTCGGTAGCGTCAGACTAATGTAGTAGGGACTTGCTTGGATATTTCCAGTGTATTTTGATTTTACAACAATCYAAAATGCCATTGTTGCTTAAATTGCAAACTTAGCCTTTTACCCCAGTTCTAGAAAGGCTTTGGCATTCATGTGAGGAAAGTAAGAAAAGATTTGTGCAAGGATATATATCTCCATTTTTCTACTAGTACAGATATCTTTGAAGGGAACCAGAAAGTGTCACTTCCGATGAATCARTTTCTGGGGATAGAGAGGAATCTTCTATCTCTCCTTGCAGATAATATTTTCTCTCCTGATTTTTTTTACTGGGAATGTCATTTACCGTTCCCTTTTCCCAAAGAGAAGCAGCAGAGAGTTCATTAGCTGAACTCTGGGCCCCCTGARATTTATTTTTTTACACAACAGCAAGTCTAACCCAGTACTTCATGGTCTCCATGAGTTTTCATTCTCACTAACCCTGAAAACATGGCTGCTAATGAAATCACTTCCAGGGCATTCCTGCACAGAGGACTCTCTGTGACACCCTCTGTTTACAGGGAGTTCTCCCACTAGGGCAGAGTGGTTGCACATAGAGCAATACAACCATGGGCTGCTAATCTTTTGTACAGATAACCTGTGAGATTTAAGGGAGTTGTTCATTCCCTGATTTCTCTCTCATAAACCCTGGATCCCATGGAGAATATGTAAGCACCACATACATGTGTTTCTGTTAGAGATGACTCCTGCACTTTTCTTGTTGAAAGAATGTGGGGGCAGTTTTCTGGACTACAAATTAAATATGAAATGTGCACACTTCTGAGTTGTCTCCTCCTTAAAATTTATCCAGTATTCTTGCCATCGTTGGGGAAAAGTAGGGATAAAATAGTTCCRTATTGTGGAAATGCAGGGTCTTGTGTATCTGGCTTTAGTGCAACTGATATATTGAAATAGTAGTTTATAYGAGAGCGGGTAGGAAAATAATTTTTTTTAATAGAGGGGAAACAATTGCAAATAGAATGTATTCCTTCCTAGTTTAGTCTCTCCTAATGGTATGTTCTAATTATGTGGAACATATCCACATTTCATCAGTAGAGTAGTTTTTCTAATTTTTATGATGCAGGTTCATGTTTTGATTCTGTAGAACTCTTTGGTTCTCTTACTGGGAATGGCCTGGTACTTCCTCCTTTTCCTTTCTCTTTTCTGTCCTCCCCTTCATCCTCCCTCCCTTTTCCCATTTTTCAAAGCTGTGAAGAAAGTGCTGGATTTACTATCATTCAATGTTAAAGGTCTCAAGATCTTCAGTCACATACAGCAAGCTAATATACATGTTAAATATAGGAAAATTATTTTTTTAATAAAATGTGACATTAATAGAAAAAAMCTACAGATTTAAGAATGAGTTATTTAAAACCTTCCTGACTTGGATTTACAAGCTCACTACTGCATGTTCTTGGTAAGTGTTTATTCTTAACATGATGGTGGACAAATGCTGCTGTGTTTTGTAATCTTCAAAAGTTTCATCAGTGCCTTTTCTGAATCAGATTTATTCAGTTAAAGTTAGTGGGGTGGGAACTAGACAAGTTTATTTAATAATTGCATGAAACACATGCACTCTATGGAAAGTATATGTTGTATATTTCTTTAAACGATTTAGGATTACAAGTGCTTTACAAGTAGCCTGACTGCATTCTGCAGTGTAAGGGATCAGATGGCTACCTAATTAAATGTATCTGTTGGTATTGTTTTTCAGGTTGGGTAGAATAACAGTTAAGAATTCTTATTAAGGTTTTAGATTACTTAGCATAAAAAATGCATGTACTTGTGGTGCACATTTGCAGGATAGCTTCAAAAGCMGAAGAGACATCTAAGTAGTCCCTTGTGACATTCCTATTTTTCCTGCTGAGAAACTGAGCACACTCTTTAAAGACCAGGAACTTTAAACAGAAGAACCGTATTGTTGATTTTTGAGGTTGCACTACATTCTTGTCTTGGAAGAATCTAACTTCCAAAACATTCAGTAAAGAAAGAGTGAAAAATCCGGCAAGTTTTACAGCAAGATGAGGAAACTATGCTGTTGATTTTTTTTCTTTTTTTCCTCTTGCTTAGGAAATGAGTAAAGCAGAACATGCATGATTTTTAATTTCTATTAATATAGTACTACTGGAAACTGAACTACTAGACTTCTCTGACAAGCAAACAGCAGCAGATTCTTTAATATTTTCCCCCTCAGGTTTTTAAATAGAATGTATTTTTGGTCACTGGCTAAAGCTTTATATTGATAACGTGATGCTTGTGTTTAAGTATGTGAACAGAAGTAGACACAAAGGTGCTTTTTCTTTGCAGTCCTTATTCTTGGGAATGCTGAGAGGTACTGGAGGCTGGATGAAAGATCTTATTTTTATTTTGGTACAATACTTTTCATACCAGTCTGTCTTTAGTGCTGCATATTCAATACCCCTAAAGAACCTCTGYGCACGGAGTTGTGTTCACGAATGCACCTTTCCCAAAGTTTTTTGACTTTCTCCATTTATATCTCAAAATCAAAGTGGAGCTGATGTTAGAAACCCCAGCTTTGAAACAGCAAGAGTGGGTCAACAGCCATTTTACTTACCTTCACCACCATATTTTTGAAGTAAATCCTTTCTGCTTAACTTAATAATCCCTGCTAAAACCTGTGATGAATGTGGTCTGTTTTGCAGGCTTCAGTCTGGTTAAGGGAGAGTGATTGTTCTCTCAGTTGTGGTCTGTTGTAGTTTTCTGACAGGCTTGGTTTTGCTTGTTTTTAACAAACTTGCATTTGGAATTGTGCAACTCTGTAGTTACAAAAGGAAACTGGGTAATGTACACCATTCCTTAGGGATTCCTTATTCAGTTGTGAGAGTAATTACTAGCCACAACCTAGATTCAAACAGCCAGGCTGTTTCTTTAGTCCTAGGTTTTTTTTCCCCTTCATTTGTTTGTTTTTTCCTTAGGGTTTTTTTTTTTCCTTGTGAGGCTCGTAGTTAATGTTCCTGGGGAAGAGTAAGCAGTGCTATTTGCGATGCATGATGCTTAAAGATACATAAGCTACACTCACACATGAATATGTGTGAACAGAAGGTTATCTGGATTTAGAAGTATCCAGTTTCTAGTAAATGAGACAGACTTGACTTAGCTGCCTTTTCTATTTTTTCTCTTCCCTTTTTATTTATTRGTTGTTAATGCTTATTATCTAATCTCTAGAGTTCTTTGGGGTATGACTTTACCCAACAATCACCAGTTAAGTAGCTCAGCAGTGGGAGGAAAGAAAACTATTATGATTTTTTTAGATGAAATATTACTTTATATGAGAAAAACAGCCACAGTGATAGGGCTGAATGCACTTCAAAAATAGATGGTTTATTTTAATAGAATCCACATAGTACATCTGTCCATTTTCAGTGTCATAGTTTTAGGTGATACTTAAATGTTCCACCTTCAGGACCAGGTTCTCTTTTACTGTAAGCTGACTAGATAAGGGTAGTGGGAACTGGACTAGTTGAATTCAGCTGAAATATTTGTTCCCTGTAAGCTGTGAGGATCCACTTAGAGGCAAAACACGGTGCTTTGGCCAGCCTGAGTTTCCTGCACACAGTGTCTCTGTAGACTCTGGTCTAAACATCAAGAGATTAAAACGTTGGATTTCCCCAGTGAAGTAACTTAGGGAAATTTATCAACTATTTACACAAAACTATCTGTTTAAACATATTTCTAAGTTTAGGAATTTAGTTTACTTTTATACATATACTGATGTCAACTAAACATACATACACATACACTAAATATAACTAAAGACACAGATGTAATCTCACAGCAGTAGTTTGCAAACTGTTAYGCAAACCTCTGCCCCCAGCGTCCTGCAGATGTAACTTTTTAAAACAAGCTATGTGACAGTGCCTGTTTACATCAGGCTTCTCCTTCCTAAATTTTGAAAAACTAGTGTGTTTCCCRTATCTTTACATGTATGTAAGCAATGCAGTGGTAGCTTGGAGAGGGACAGTGTTATACATTGGACCAAACCTATGACATTAATTATAGGAACTCTCAGGAAATGCTTYATTTGGAGTTTCAAGATTCTAGGATCTAAAGATTTAGGAT